CTGAATATTTAAGTACACTTTCCTGGGGGAAAGCAGTTTAAAAGCTGCAGCTTGCAATGCTGGAATCCCCAATTAGAGCTCCAATTCTAGCACCAGCTGCTCCTGCTAATGTGCCTGGGAAGGAAGCAGAAGATGGGCCCGAATACTTGGGTCTCTAACACCCATATGGAAGACCAGGATGAAATTCCTGGCTCCTGCCTTCAGCCTGGCCCAGCCCCAGCTGTTGCAGCCATTTGGGAAGTGAACCAGTAGATAGAAGATCTCTCACTCAGCCTTTTAAACAAAAACAAATAAATATTTAAAAACAAAACAAACAAAAAAACCCTCCTTTCTATTCATGGATTTTAAATGGGTATTTTACAGCTCAATGAGGAAAGGCATCTTGACTTGATCATCTTTGTAGTCTCAGCACCTAACACATTTATAATTTAACTATTACTGTCTTGAACAGAACGTTATTGTCAATATTGTTCCAATCAGAGAAACAGAGTGACTTGAACAGTACCATGGATTTTACTACACTGAAAGAGAAGGAATGTTTTACCTCGAGTTAAAATGTCTGTGGTCAGCCTGAGAATAGCAAATATCAAGGATTACCTTTCTTAGGAACTCAAGGAGTATGACTTATCCACCCTACAGTCCTACAAACAGAAGCGTGTGTAATCAGAGGTAAAAGGCAATATCCTAAAAAATAGCAAACCGTTCACAGTTTTCGCAAGAAACATAGAATAAAATGTTTATAACACAAATGAGGCTTTTAGAAAAAAACTGACAAAGGAAAATCTTGTTTAAAAGAATTTGCTAGGGGGTCTAAAAAACTACTGCATTGGACCATATCAAATTGCTAAGGAAGTACACGTCTTACTAGTAGTAGATGAGCAAGGTAGTTTTCAAATATGAAGGAAAACATTTTAATTGCGGTAACCCACTTTTCAAGGCATTTAGTTGTCAAAAATAAACTCAACAAGTCTTTAAAAGCTGGATAATGTCACATGGCTCAATATTCTACCCTTCCTGAAAGGTGTGCACATTTTTCAGTACTTTTCTTAGGTTCTTGGTCCCAATGCTAATATACATGTTCAAAGATCTGTTAACTATCTTTACAAAAATTTAAACATTTAAAAAGTTACATTTGATAGTATGTCTGCTTTCAAACACAAAAGATACTGATACTTATGAAAGTAGGATTTTTTTGTTTGAAGCAGAGAATAGAGAACTGAAATCTGTTATGACTGTATTATTACTTCTCCCTGTTGAGGAGTATAGGTCAAATCTTTTCTAGCATATTATAAATTAAACAATACAAAACAAAAACATTCAACAATCCTATAAGCCAGAAATCGGTGTGGTTTCTAAATGAAGATAAAATACTTCTTAGCAGTGTTCTAAGAATTAAATGAGAAAATGTATGTAAAGAAGCCTGGTTGGGGCGGGCACTGTGGCGTAACCGGTAAAGCCACTGCCTGCAGTGCTGGCATCCCATAGGGCGCTGGTTTGAGTCCCAGATGCTCTTCTTCCAATCCTGCTCTCTGCTATGAGCTGGGAAAGCACTAGAAGATGGTCCAAGTCCTTGTGCCCCAGCACCTGTGTGTGGGAAGACCCGGAAGAAGCTCCTGGCTTCAGATCAGCACAGCTCCAGCATTTGCGGCCAACTGAGGAGTGACCAGCAGATGGAAGACCTCTCTCTCTCTCTCTCTCTGCCCCTCCTTCTCTGTGTAACTCTGACTTTCAAGAAAAAATAAAATAAACCTTAAAAAAAAAAAAAAAAGCAGCCTGGTAGCTGGCACAAATTAAACACCCAATAAATGGCACTGCATTCATTCTTCATAGAAAGGAAGTGAAAACATACAGTAAGGCCAAGGGACTTAAAAATCCATTAGAGAAGCCTGTGAAAGCAGATGGATACAGTCCAGTCAAATATCTAGATCGATAAATTCAATGAGGAAAGGAATATTGATACATTTATCCTTAGAGTTCCAGAACTAACACAGGGCCTGGCACACGCAATAGGTGTTCAATAAAGACTTGCTGAAATGAAGTGAGTGTGAAAATATGTTATCTGGAAAACTTTTTTTAAAAGAGGCAGTCTCAAGTTTCCTGAAAAATAAACTGAATGTCCCAAATTACCATTCCCTAGACAAGTAACTTTGGGAAAGGAGTGAAACTTTTAAGCATTTCTTGAAGCAGAGGAACTCCCCTCAGACTGTCTCTTTAATGACTAAGCCCACTTTCAAATCCTTTTTTACAACTATGTAATATACAAGGTCTATTATGTGACAGAAATACTTAAAATTGTAATCTTAATCAATGTTGTATGCATCCTTGAAGGGGGCGGGGGTGTTACCCACAGCACAGAGGAATCTTTCCCAACTTCCATGCAAGGAGGATCAGATAAACCTAACTCACAGCTCTTCCATCTGCTGAACTCAGCTTTCACCTACAAGCAGGTTGTAAACACATATTTTGTAACCATATTTCACTTTCACAAGTTTGAGTGCACACTCTAGAAAAGGAAGAGGGAAGAAAACCAACTCTCTCCAAAGTGGAGAGTGCCACAGAAGTACAAGAGTGCCTAACAAAACTCGCCTCCCATGTCTCAGCAGCCACCTGTTAGAGCCCCAGCTTACTGTCTGGTTTTTGCAAACTCAAAATTCTCCGGGGAGCAGACAAGGAAACAAGTACAAAGTTAAAATACGGTCCTATCTTCCCCACCACACCATGAGAGGAGATCAGAAGAATTCTTTTCTTAAAAAGACTTCTCCAAGTTACTGCCCAGCATCTCACTACAGCATCCATTCTTCTTGTTCGGAAACTAATCAATTTTACAGACAGCAAAAGCCACACCCTTAATAACACACAGCTCTGCACAGTGCTTGGCTTCCCTGCCAAGTCAAGTACATTTCCAGGCAGCCAGTCGGAGCTCCATCTCCTGAGTCTGCTTCAAACTCAAATCTGTTAAGTGTGAAGTCAGAAATCAAAGAGCCCCAAATCAACTGCACAAAGGATTTTTTTGAGAGGGGGGAAAAACATTAAAAACATCTTTCTTAATGAAATGACACTTTTTTTTTTCAGAAAAACAAAACACCTAAACTACCAGATTAAATGACAAAGTAGTTTGTAGAATATTAACAAAGAACCTATAATACACAGAGTAAAATTATGCTTAAATTATCACTTGTTTCCCATATATGGTGCCTTGAAAAGTAGCAAATTCATGAAGGCATTGTCCAACTACTGGCACTTTAGTTATTTTTTAACATAATTTCTGGAAAGTTCTTAAGTAGCAGTTTAAAAAGCAAAACAAATTTTAATGAGAAAAAAAAAAGCCTACTCCAAACTCTGGTAAAATACATTGACGATATTCACTTTTTTTTTTTTTAATCCAAGAAGCAGTAAGGTCACAGGCACAAGTGTGTGACATCTGTGGGTAGTTGATACAAATCAGAATAAAGGTTTCTCTGGAACTAAGCACTAAAACAGCACTCAATACAATCTGACACGATCTTTAAAAATCATTTTAACGCTAACATTTTTTAACTGCTATGTGCGTCTCCAATAGCAAAGCCAAAGCTTTCCAAATCAAAGATTTTTCACTTCACGCACACACGCTTTTGTAAATTAAAAAAAAAAAAAAGCTAAATGTCAATGAAAACACCGAAAAATGTTCAAGGCACCCGGGACACACTATCGGAAAACATCTGTTTTCACAGTCATTTCTCAGAGTTCCTGGCAGCGCCCTTTGCAATCCGGGCTTCTTCGGAATGCCGTCCCGGGTGCACAGAGCCGGGAGCATGGACCTCGGCGCCTCCTCGGGAGACGCGTTATTACAGATGGACTTCCAATGCCCTCCGACTCAAACAACGCACAGGCACACACAGTGAGCAAGGGAGACGACGATTCGGGGTACCAGGGGCGCCACGTACTTTTATTTTTGGTGGCAGCGGCTGCAAATGAAGGTTCCCTGAGAGCCGTCTGCACCTATCCCCACCCATCACAGCCCTGCGGAGCTCGGGACCCGGTCCGCTTGTCCCCGGGATGGAGGAACCCGTGCCTTTCCGCGTCTCCCAGGGTGGGCCGGGGGAGGCTGTGCGCTCCGGGCTACGGACAGAAACCCAGGGAGGACGCGGATCCTTGGCGGACAGGACAAGGAGAGGCATCCGGGTGGGGAGGATGGCACGCCTTGCGGAGACCCCCGGGGCTTGCAGATCCGCCTCCCGAGGGGCAGACAGGGTGCTGCCCGCTCACGGATGGGGACAGACAGACAAAGCTCCACAGGCGGACAGAGGCACACTCGCCGGAGACCTGAGAGGGCGTGAACCAGGCGGCTCCGAACGCCAAGCCCCAGATGGTGTTGAGAGACCCGACACCTCGAAGCTGAGACTTACGGTTACTTCCCGGGCTGAGAGTGAGGGTCGGGGGTGGGGGGACCCCGCAGGTCTGCAGTGCTGCCCCTCGCGCCGAGCCGGTGACCTCAGGTACCCTCTGCGCCCCACCCACCCGGACGGTCGCCCCCTTCCTCGCCGGCCCGGGTGCGCGGCCAAGCAGACGCCGCTGGGGCCAGGGGTGCGCACCGGAGGCCCGCGAGAAGCGCTGCGTGAGCCCGAGGCGCCGCGGCGAGGCTCAGACTGGGCGGGCGGCCCCCATCCCTCTCCAGCCGCCGCGCCGCCTCACTCGGGGGAGGGGAGGAGGGGGCGGTGGCTCCTGCCTCCGCCTCGCGGTCAAGTCCGGCTCATGCTTCAGCCTGGCGCGCGCGCCCGCGCCCGCGCGCGCAGCCCCGGCCGCCCTCCTCCCCTCCCCCGCCTCCGGCTCTGCCGCTGCTGCCCCTGCCGCCGCCACCCCAGCCTCGGAGCCGCCCGCCACCAGCCCCAGGGAGCGTGCGGCGCCGGCGAGCAGCGGCACGAACGGCAGCAGCTAGGCTGCCGACCCGGAAGCTCTTACGCCGCCAACCGCGAGGCTGCGAGGGGTGTGAACCCGGAAGCGATTTCCTTGCCCCGGTAGCGGCGGTTTAGAAAGCGGAGGCCTTGGGAGATCTGGGAGCCCGTAGTTTCGGGAGAGGGTGAGGGGCGAAGGGTGCCCAAGTGCCAGGAGAAGGAAGGACTGTCAAAGAGCCGGTGCGCAGAAGGCTCTCCGGACTCCAGGGGCCCGAGCTCGCGGGCGCCGGAGCGCAGCTCTAGGCGCCGGGCGGCTCTCGCTGGCCACCGAGGGTGCCCCTGTCACAGGAAGTCAGGCCGGGCCCGGAGCCCGGGACCGCGGCCCGAGCATGGGAAAGCGGTGAGGGTCCCGCCCCGAGTGTTGAATGTAGCGACCCGAGGGGCAGCCGGCCGCCCGCGCGGGTGAGACCGCTCGGTTTCCTTGGGGGAAACGAGGAGGAGCAGGATCCCGACTGCAGCGAGAGAGGACCGAGGTGGGAGCCCGAGCCGTCTGGTTTCTCCAGGCAAGGAGTTCGTTTTTTACCTGCAGCTGCGGAGAAGCCGCCGCCTCGGGGGGAGGGGGAGGATGGGGTGGAAACTCTGCCGGCTTCCCGGGAGTGGACCTCGAGGGGCGGTGGCGGAGCACGAAGCCTCCCGGGGCCGAGGGTGGGTCGTGGCCGTTGCAGGGAGAGCGGGCCACACAGCTTCTCATTCCAGCTCGTTCCTAACCCTCTGCGTCTTTTTTTTACGGGTTTCCGCTTTCGCTCTTTGCTTTTTCCCCCCGTGCTGGTTTCTGTTTCTTTGCTTGGTTATTGATTTGGGGTTTTTGCTGTTTAGTTCTTTTTGGCTCCACCAGAAGTCGTTTCATCGAGCGGGCTAGGTCAGGCATTGGGCCCCGCTCCTTCCTTTCCCGCTCTGTGGAAGGGCTGCTGTGTCTGTGCACTTTCTTTAGGGACAGACCTGCCCCGGGCGCGCGAGGTGACCCCGCAGTTGTACACCTGCCCTCCGCAGTCGCCGCGTGAATCGGAAGTGTTCTGAGCGGCTCCTAGACAGCTGCTACCCCTAACACAGAACCACGCCCACCGCTTTGTTTACAGAGGAGCCTGACTACAGCAGTATAGCTATCCTCTGCCTAACCGTTTGCCAGCAGAGTCAAGCCCTAGTGCCACATATTTCCTGTGTGAATCAATTGAACTCTTAGGCAAAGCTCAGTCTAGCCGTCGCAGACTGTTTTTCTAACTGTTCAGTTTAGTTCGTTCCCCTCTTCCATCCATTTGTATGTGTTTCTGTCTTAGCATGTTTAGCTTCCTATAGGAGAAGCTGTCCTTATTTTTCTGGCTTAAGCTTTTGTTTCCTCCTTTCACGTCACTGGAAGAATGTACATTTCTTTAAAATCGATTTTAAGTCCGGCACCGCGGCTCACTAGGCTAATCCTCCGCCTGCAACGCCGGCACACTGGGTTCTAGTCCCGGTCAGGGCGCCGGATTCTATCCCGGTTGCCTCTCTTCCAGTGCAGCTCTCTGTTGTGGCCCGGGAGTGCAGTGCAGTGGAGGATGACCCAAGTCCTTGGCCCTGCACCCGCATGGGAGACCAGGAGGAAGCACCTGGCTCCTGGCATCGGATCAGCGCAGTGTACCTGCCCAACGAACGCGCCAGCCATAGCGGCCACTTGGGGGGTGAACCAACAGAAAAAGGAAGACCTTTCTCTCTGTCTCTCTCTCTCTAACTACCTGTCAAAAAAAAAAAAATCGATTTTAAGACGTTAAATGACTTTAAAAACAGAATGCTATAATGCCAAAACCTCATATCTAAGGTATTTTTTATTAAGGTTTATTTATTTATTTGAAATAGTTACAGAGAGAGAAAGAGGCAGAGAGAAAAGTCTTCCATCTGCTCATTCACTCTCCAAATGGCCACAACAGCCAGAGCTATGCCGATCCGAAGCCAAGAGCTTCTTTTGGGTCTCCCACGCAGGTGCAGGGGCCCAAGGACTTAGGCCATCCTGTACTGCTTTCCCAGGCCACAGCAGAGCTGGATCAGAAGTGGAGCAGCCAGGACTCAAACCGATGCCCATATGGGATGCTGGCACTGCGGGCAGCGGCTTTACCATGCCATAGCACCTGCCCCCATATCTAAGTTTTAGTCACATCCCATTTGTTTACCTTTTGAAAGCTGAAAGTTTTGCGCAGTACCACATATTCTAGAGGAGTGATGAGCACAAAGCATTTTGCTGATAGGCGTTTTCTCGATATGAGTTGATCAAGACAACTTAGAAAACTAAGAATTATTTGATCTCTGTTTTAGGTGCCTAATAGAAAACGTTGTTTCTGTAATTGTGCAATGTGTACTACACAGTGTATCATTAGTATATCATTAGTAGAGTGTCTCTTTGGGAGCTTGCAGTTTTCACAGAGGCATATATCTCATAATTCGTAAAATTTTATTATTTTGAAGTCATTGTCAATTTAAGGTGAAAAGTAATCAGTAAATAGAAATTCCAAAAATAGGCCTTATGGCCTAGGAAGCTCTGTTGCATGAGGTAGGTTTAAGAATGAGCTATTGAAAAAAGTGAACTGAAAAAAAATTCTATGACTATGGAATGAGAATGAATATGTCCTTATAAACTCACAAAATGAAATGCCTCCATCCTAATGTTTTACTATAGTTTCTCTCGGGAAATATCCATAGCTCTTTGGTCCTAAATTGATGAAGACTTAAAATAAAATTTTGCGCAGTATTTTAATGTTTGTTTTAATCTTAGGTTGAAGTTTTTTAAAATGTCAAAAGTTACTGGATATTAGAAGAATTTTGTTTTAAAGAAATTTTCCAATTATAAGAAATAATTAAACTGATAAGAACAGATATTACACTTGATCTTAGCCAAAAGGCTGAGAAGGAATAAAAAAACATTTTTTTAATTTATTGCTTAGAGAGATGGATTAAAAGTTCCAAAGTGACTTTATCAGTGGCAGTTGGGAAACAAAGTAAATTACTGTGTTTCCTCTCTAGTAACACTAAAATCCCCCTTGTTTGCAAATGGTCTCATTTTTCTCTTGAGAGTTGGAGCAATAAGGAATTCATTAAACATGAACAGGTCATTTTAATGCTTGAAGAGTTTTTTATAAAAATTGAAGACAGTTCATCTCAACATGGCTTGGAAACGAACTTTTTTATTTTCTTTTAGAAATTTGCTGGCCTATAAGTGAAAGGAAACTTTTTTGAAAAGAGTAAATAGGGGCCAGTGCTGTGGAATAACGGGTAAAGCTTCCACCTGCAGTGCCAGCATCCCATTTGCCTCCGGTTCGAGTCCTGGCTGCTCCACTTCCGATCCAGCTCTCTGCTGTGGCCTGGGAAACAGTGGAAGATGGCCCAAGTCTTTGGGCCCCTGCACCTATCTGGGAGGCACATTAACAGGGAACTGGATTGGAAGTGGAACAGCCAGGACTCCAACCAACACCCATATGGGATGCTGGCATTGTAGGCAGTGGCTTTGCCTACCTTGCCATAAAGTTGGCCCCATTAGATGCTAAGAAAAAAAAATTGACATTTTAAAAATTGTTTTTCCAAAAGATTATGGAGAAATAGAAACTGTCATATTAAGATGTAGTATTTTTTTGCTTTGCCACCAATTTTGTCATTTAATCTTTGCAAGGATTTTTTTTTTTTTTTTGTCTTTCTATAAAGCAATGGGAAATCCAGAAAACATAGAAGATGCATATGTTGCTGTTATTCGTCCGAAGAATACTGCCAGTCTCAATTCTCGGGAATACAGAGCTAAGTCATATGAAGTAAGAGAATTTAATGACATTCGATTTCTACTATTGACTGTCATTCTCTTGTCATTTACCTATAAACTCTTACCATAGCCAATAAATTCTTACTGACAAACTCATTATTCTGAACCTACCCATCACTGTCTTTTGTGTGCCGCAGCCTTTTGACCATTTGCTATTCATTGACATGATAGGTTATTACGTGTTAAAAGTTACTTGTTTGAATTATACTTAGAATTTATAGGCTTAGATTCGAGTATGATTTATGGAATGGTTCTTGAAAAATAAAAACCACTGCAATGTCAGTTCACTCAAAATTTCAATCTAAACATTGTTCTTGGTTATTCTGTCAAATTACTATTTTTAGCAGTTCATTACTATAAGTTTTAGTCAAGTTACTTCTCTGTAGTACTGAGTCGTATTACATATATTAGCAAACGTGTAACTGAGGCAAAATATATCTATAACTGAATTGTTACCTTTTCTGTGCAGTAAATTCTAAGCACTGTGAAATACTTCTGGTCTAACCTGAGTGACTCTCGGGTTTTGCTGGAGCTGCTTGTTAAGGTTAGCTGAAGTCTGCGAGGGGACTACGGAGGCTTTCAGGAGGGCGCCCCTTCTGCCGTGCTCTGGCTTTGCCGCTTCTCAGTCCTGGCTACCCTGAAAGTCTTGAAGATGCCAGTCCCAGGTCCAGACTTCAGACACCCTCATTTAATAGAGCTCAGATTGGGCTGGGCGTTGGCATTATTTTTATGACTTAGCAAGTTCTTTTAATTTGCAGCTATGGTTGAAAAAGGCTGCTAGCTTATTGTAGTATTCTGTATCAACTAAATTTTATTCTAAACTTTGTCTTAATGTTATTTTTCTTGTCGCAGATTTTGTTGCATGAAGTTCCCATTGAAGGGCAGAAAAAAAAGAGGAAGAAAGTTTTGTTGGAAACTAAACTTCAAGGCAATAGTGAAATAACACAAGGCATATTGGATTATGTAGTGGAAACTACTAAACCAATTTCTCCTGCCAACCAGGGTATCAGAGGTAAGAAATTCCTCTCCCCACACACACCCTTTTAATTAATTAATTAATTTCAGAAGCACACAGGGAAGATCTCTCTCATCCACTGGCCCACCCCCAGATGTCCACAGTGAATGGGCCAGGAACTCAATCCGGGTCTCCCACGTAGTTGGCAGGAACCCAGTCACTTGAGTCATCACCTGTTGCCTCCCAGGGTATACCATAGGCAGGAATCAGAAGCCACACCCAGGAACCAAACTTGGCACTCTAGGCTGCAGTTGTCTTAACCATGGGTGGCTTTAAATATTTGTAGAGAAAGGTATTTTTAAAACATACTAAAATCTATTTATTTTTATGTTGCTTTCATTAAAAAAAAAAAACAAAACTGTGGGTTGGCACTGAGGCATAGTGGGCTAAGCCTCCATCTGCAGCGCTGACATCCATATGGGTGCTGGTTTGTGTTCCGGCTGCTCCTCTTCCGATTCAGCTCTCTGCTATGGCCTGGGAAAGCAGCAGAAGATGGCGCAAGTCCCTGGGCCCCTGCACCCATGTGGAAGACCTGGAAGAAGCTCCTGGCTCCTGGCTTTGGGTTGGCCCAGTTCTGGCTATTTGGGGAGTGAACCAGCGGATGGAGGACCTTTCTGTCTGTCTCTCCCTCTTTCGTTCTGTAACAGTACCTCTCAAATAAAATTAGATGTTAAAAAAAAAGCAACTTACACTATAAGTTTTTGATGAAGTGGCTCAGCCCTGCTTGGGATGCCAGCATCCCATGTCATAGGTGCCAGTGTTCCAGTCCTGGCTCCACTCCTGATTCAACCTTCCCGCTAATGAGTACTAAGGGAGGCACCAGCTGGTGGTTCAGGTACTTGGATTCCAGCCAATGACATGGGAGACCTGCATTGAGTTCCTGGCTCATGGCTTCAACTTGGCCCAGCCCTGACTATTGTGAGCATTTGCGGAGTGGACCAGTGAGTTTGAGATCTCTTATTTTCTTTTTCTTTCTTCACTGTCCCTCTACCTTTCAAATAAAGTAAATAAATAAAAATGACTTAAAAAGAAGAAGGAAAAAAAAGTGCAAAAGACTTAGAATTTTTTTTTTTTTTGGCTATAGCCAAGTACTTTCAAGAACTAGCATGACAAAAAAAGAAGAAAACACTAATGACTATTTTTTTACACTTAAAAAGTGTTATTCTACATTTTCAGAAAAACTACTGTAGTAGCGAACTGTAGAAATGGTCCCTGGAAGTCTAGTCTTAATTGAAAAGTGTTTAGAGAAGTCATAGTGTTGTGGCACAGCAGATTAAACATCACTTGGGACACCAGCGTCACAGAGTGAAGCTCTGCTTTGGATCTGGCTCCCAGCTAATGCATCTGTGGGAGATCCAAATGGAGTTCCTGGCTCCTGTCTTCGGCTTGAGCCAAACCTGACCATTGCGGCCATTTGAAGAGTGAATCAGATGGAAGATCGATTTCTCTCTCTCTCATTCAGCCTTTCAAATAATTAAATAGATAATCTTAACAACAAAAGAAGTCCTATGTTAATGATTTGTTCAACAGTGAGGAAGGCGTAGATATTTGTCTCAGTAGCTAATATGCCATTTGGGACATCAGTGTTCCATATTGGAGTTCTGTGTGTGAGTCCTGGCTCTGTTTCCAATTCCAGTCTTGCCAGTGTACACTCTGGGAAGCAGGAGATGAAGGCTCAAGTATTTGTGCCCCTGTACCTATACGGGAGAGACCCAGTTGAGGCCCCTGACTTCAGTCTGGCCTACTCCCAGCTGTAGGGGCATTTGGGGGATTGACCAATAAATGGAAGGTTTCTGTCTCCCTGTTCATTTCTTTCTCTTTCTCTTCCTTTCAGATAAAATGAGTTAATAAAAATTTATGACATAAATTAAGTCAAGATTCAGGCATTATAATTTTAAAAGGTAAAGTAAATTTCAAACAGTTGAAAGCAGTTCGGTAAACCTCTCTGTACCTACTTTTTTAATTTTTTAAAGCTTAGTGTTTTAGGGAGGCAGAGGCAAAGAGAGAGAGGTCTTCCATTCGCTGGTTCACTCCCCAAATGGCCGCAATGGCCAGAGCTGATCCTATCCAAAGCCAGAAGCCAGGAGCTTCTTCCGGGTCTCCCACGCGGGTGCAGGAGCCCAAGGACTTGGGCCATCTTCTACTGCTTTCCCAGGCCATAGCAGAGAGCTAGCTCAGAAGAGCAGCAGCCGGGACTTGAACTGGCACCCATATAGGATGCCGGCACTGCAGACAACAGCTTTACCTGCTATGCCACAGCACTGGCTCCCCAGGTTTACTTTCAGTAAAATGAGTTAGAAACCAATTTTAGCTACCAGTAAAATGTATTAATATATTTTTAGTCAGCTTTTCATAAGAGAAATTGAAAGAGAAGTTTTATTTAATTAAATAGAAAATTATATAATTTAGCCATTTATATACAGAATATCCTATTCAATGGAGTTTTTATAAATGTATAAGATATTTTTAAAATGATATGGTACTTTTTGTAAGCAGAACAAATAAGTCACAAATGTAGCAGTAGTTAATGCTTTAAATTTTTGTGCATTGCTGTATATAGTTTACAAAGTTCTACCCAACTTACTTATTTGTAAAATGCTTAAATTGATTTTATAAATTGCTCTGAAGTCATTTTCACATCTCTAAAATGGAAATGTAGACATGGGTGTCACCTGCTAAGAGCAGATTACTAAGTGGTGGGATTAGGACTAGATCCTGGATCTCTCATTGTCACTGTTGCTTTCCCCACTCAGCAGATCTGATAGTTATGTCTCTGAGTGTGGTCTGCAAAGTGGACAGTTCAACAGTGGATCACACCCAGCTTTGAGGAAGCAGCAGAGCAGGGAAGGTTAAGTGAGGAAGAAACCTCAAGCAGACCAAAGAAATAATGCCTGTGGAATTCATTAGAATTTTATTCTGTATCCAACACTTATATTTCATGTAAGTGCTAGTTTTGTAAAATAACTTTTGGGGCTATAATATAATAGACTATTCCTTACGATCTTAATATTATCTGTCCATCCACAGAGAGCCCATTCCTGCCACTGTGCATTTCTGCCTGAGTCAGGAACCAGGTTCTCTTTCTTAGGGTGAGAACTGGAAGGGTTAGTAAATATGACAAAGGATCTAGAGGATGAGGGGTTTTCGAGCACAAGACTTGCAGATTATTATTTATAGCCCCCTGACTGCCAAATTCAGAAAAGCAGACCAATAGTGGGAGTTAGAATTCAAAACAATAGTTTGTAGCCCAATCATATTTTTATAAAACCTGGAATTAAGAATGGATGTTAAATGTTAAATGAAGAACTACTAAACATTAAGACTTTGAAATCTAATTATATCTCCCTTCTTAGCCAGCCCAGGCTAACAAAATTCTAACGCCTATAATCCCTTCTGAGTGAGCACTCGTACGTCTGTTGACTCTGCATGGTGCTTTGCTGTTCACTTGTTCTCTCCATCCTTATAGATCAATTTTCTTCCTTATAGATCAATTTTCTTTGATCTAGGAAGTTTCTCTTGTAATGAGCAATACTACAGCATGGACTGTACTGGCTGACTGTCCACAGAATGTTCATTAGACTGGCTGTTTTTTATTTCAATTCCTCTTGATATGGCCTTTTAAAACTGTATTTTTTAATTCTCAAGGTAACTTAAGATTTAAAGTCTGTTATTGTTATTTTTATTGACTTAAATGATTAGGCAAACGAGTAGTACTGATGAAGACATTTCCTCTGGATGGAGAAAAGATGGGCAGAGAAGCGGCATTATTTATTGTTCCATCAGTTGTCAAAGGTAAAGTCTACATTCATTTTATGAATCTTTGTGTATTTTAGATGTTAAGTTGAAGTCCATCGAGGAACTTAGGAATTTTCATTTAAAATTCATAATAAAATACATGTTTTTAAATTAAGTGAGGGGCTGACACTGTAGCATAGCAAGTAAAGCCACCACCTGCAGTGCCTGCATCCCATATGGGCACTGGTTCGAGTCTCAGCTGCTCTACTTCCTATCCAGCTCTCTGCTGTGGCCTGAGAAAGCAGTAGAAGATGGCCTAAGTGCCTGGACCTGTGCACGTGGGTGGGAGATCCGGAAGAAGCTCCTGGCTCCTGACTTCAGATAGGCCCAGCTCCAGCCATTGAGGCCATTTGGGGAGTGACCTAGCACATGGAAGACCTCTCTCTCTGCCTCTGCCTCTCTGTAACTCTACCTTTCAAGTAAATAAATAAATCTTTAAAAAAATTAAATTAACTGAAAAAGGGAAATATTTTACTTAAAGATGTTTTGATTTCAAAGTAATAAATAGGCTTCCTAGCTCAATGGTAGTGTTTTGGTTTTGGTTTTTTGAAGTAGGATGAAGAAGTGAGGGAAGAGTAAAGGCACAACTGAAATTAAAATAATCCAGGCTATAATAAGGGAGTTTTCAAATGATGGGCTATAGATAGAATAAAAACAGATATTTAAGTATTCTGGAGAATTAACATATTATAATCAGGGTCCAATTCGTATTTGGGACCAGAAAATGTCAATAATAGTTCTAAAATACTCCGTGCATTATTGGTAATCTTTAAAGAACATGGATCTAATATGAACATTTAATTTGAGCCTTCGACATCCTGGAATAATGTTCACGGAAAAACATTGAATTTCAATGCAGACCTTATAGCCCTCTAATTTTTGACCCTGAGCAGATGGTTTCTTTAAGATTTAGTTTACTACAGGGGCAGGGACAGTTTTTTACCTGCCCTTGTTTGGCTCAATTGTGGAAGAATTCAGTGAGTTAACAGATTTGAAATCACTTTGGCTACTAGAGTTCTGGTAATGTTACTAGTGACGTAATGATGAGCCACCGTGGACAACCCATCAGCTTGCTGCTACACAATACTTAGATGTATGTTGTCCACCCTCTCTAGCATTCCAGATATGTTTCCTCAGGAGGTATAGGTTAAAAAGTTCAGTATTTTGTTTTATTTTATTTTTTGAAGATTGATTGATTTATTTTGAAAGAGTTACAGAGAGACAGATCTTCTATCCACTGGTTTAGTCCCCTGGGCCAGACCAAAGCCAGCAGCCAGGAGCTTCTTCTGTGTCTCCCACATGGGTGGCAGGGGCCCAGGTATTTGGGCCATCATGCACTGCTTTCCCAGGCCATTAGCAGGGAGCTGGGTCAGAAGTGGAGCAGCCAGAACTTGAACCAGCACACATATTGCTAGGATATCAGTGTCTTAGGCATTGGCTTTACCTGCTACACAACAATGCTGGCCCCTGTTTTATGGTTTTTGTTTGTTTGTTTGTTTGTTTTTTTTAAGCTATTTGAAAGAGTGAGGAGAGAGACAGAAGAAGAGTGATCTTCTGTCTGCTGGTTTGTCTCCCAAATATCTGCAGCAGCCAGGGCTGGGCTAAACTGAAGCTAGGATTTAGGAACTCCATCCGAGTCTCTCACGTGGGTGACAGGAACCTAAGTATATGAGCCATCACTTTTTGGAGGTGGGACTCCATCTCAGGCATCCCAAGTGGCAACTTAATCTGTTGTACCACAACACCTGCCCCTAAAAGTTCAGTATTTTAAACTATGTTTGAAGTCTCAGTAAAAGGTTTTGTCACACCATTGAGGGAAATAGGAAAGAATTTCTGCAGCCCTCCAAGGTTCTTTTTTTGTTTTATTTTAAAGATTTATTTATTTGGAACCAAAGTTAGAGAGAAGGAGAGACAAATTGAGATCTACCATCCCCTGGTTCACTCCACATATGGCCACGATGACCCGAGCTAGGCTAGGCTAGGCTGAAACCAGGAGCCAGGAGCTTCTTCATGGTCTCCCACGTGGGTACAGGGGCCCAAGACTTGGGCTATTCTCCTCTGCTTTCCCAGGTACAATAGCAGGGAGCTGGATAGGAAACGGAGCAGCTTGGACTTGAACTGATGCCCATATGGATGCTGGCACTGCAGGCCATGTCTTAACCCTCTGAATTACAGCACCAGCTCCTCTTCCAAGATTCCAAATGCTACGTTCACTCAAGTGTACCAGATCACAGAGCTAGCCAACACTTGAATGTAGGCCTTCTAATTACAAAACTAGAATGATTTATATTCTATTTAATAAATTTTAGTATTTAAAATGTGTATTTTTATTTATTCATTTGTTTGAGAGGCCTAGAGACAGAGAAAGAAAGATCCTATACACTGATTCACTCCCCAAATGCCTGCAACAGCTGAGGCTGGGCTGGGGCCAGAGCCAGGAGCTGGGAACACAATCCAGGTCTCCAATGAGGGTGGCAAGAACATAGTTACTTGAGCCATTACTGCTGCCCACCAGGGTCTGCATTGGTTGGAAGGTGCAGTTAGGAGTTGGAATCAGAATTCAAACACGGGTACTCTAATATGAAACATGGACATCTTAACTACTAGGTTAAAGTAAACTTTTGTTGACTTTCACTGTATACTTTAAATGAAAACATGCAACTGTAAACCTTTTATATGTTGGCATAACTCTCTGTTTTTCTTTTTCAGATAATACTAAATATACATATACTCCAGGATGCCCAATTTTTTACTGCTTACAAGATATTATGCGAGTCTGCAGTGAATCCAGTACTCAATTTGCTACTCTTACAGCAAGAATGTTAATAGCTTTGGATAAGTAAGAAATGCTGTGAAAAATATTTTTAAATTAATCAAATATATATTCATAGTGGAGATGAGTTCTCATAGATACAGATACTTTTGGAAGAAAGTTTTTAAAAATAATATGTAAAGAAAGTGTAAGTTTTTCAGTTATTATATAGAAATGAGTAGCTCCCAGGACAGGACTGTCCTGGTCTCCTTACAACATGTTAATCTTATTCTGCAAAAATGATAATCTTATTCTGCAAAAATGACTAACATGAATTAAGATTCCCCTGTTATTAAACTAGATTTAGTACTGAATTTCTCTTATAATTGTATATGTCAGTTACCTCTCCTGTTTTTGTCTTTCTGTAATAATAGGACTAAAGTTACCTACATCTTGGTGATTTAAATTTTAAAAGTTCTTCATGTATTTTGAAAGGAGTTTTGTAAATTATAATTGCTTACATTAAAAATGTTTGCTCTGTCCATTAACAAAACTTTTACTAATAATAAATGACTTGGGGCCGGCGCCTTGGCTCACTTGGTTAATCCTCCACCTGTGGTGCCGGCATCACATATGAGTGCCGGGTTCTAGTCCCGGTTGTTCCTCTTCCAGTCCAGCTCTCTGCTGTGGCCAGGGAAGGCAGTGGAGGATGGCCCAAGTGCTTGGGCCCTGCACCCGCATGGGAGACCAGGAGGAAGCACCCGGCTCCTGGCTTTGGATTAGCGCAGCGCCGACTGTAGGCCATTTTGGGGGTGAACCAATGGAAGGAAGACCTTTCTCTCTCTCTCTGTCTATAACTTTACCTGTCAAATAAATTAAAAAAAAAAGAAAAAAAATAATAAATGACTTAACCAACACTAATTAAAATTCTAAAAATCTGAAGGTAATATTAGAAAATATCACATATTAGAGTTGGATAATGGTCTGCCCTTCTGTCTTCACTTTTGACACATTCTTCTACTGCCTTTTTTTTTAATGTTTTGCCAGGTGGTTGGATGAACGGCATGCACAATCTCACTTTATTCCAGCTTTATTCCGACCCTCTCCTCTTGAGCGAATAAAAACTAATGTCATAAACCCTGCATATGCTACTGAATCAGGTCAGACAGAAAACTCACTACATATGGGCTATAGTGCACTAGAAATCAAGAGTAAGATGTTAGCCCTAGAGAAAGCAGATACCTGTATTTACAACCCTTTGTTTGGATCAGATCTTCAGTATACAAACCGGGTAAGAAGTGAACAAATTTGGTCTCTGGTTGCAAAAGATGTTCCATCTCAAATGTAATTTTTTTTCTGAGATAAATACATCTGTTACTAACTGTGAACATTAAGATGACATCCACATTCTACTTATTATGTATATAAAAATCAAGTTTCTAAACTCTTAGGAGTTTTTGTTTTGTTTTCCCTTTCTAGGTAGATAAAGTGGTAATAAATCCATACTTTGGTCTAGGAGCTCCAGACTACTCAAAGATCCAAATCCCTAAACAGGAGAAATGGCAGAGAAGCATGAGCAGTGTCACAGAAGACAAGTACTGTTTTGCTTTTACTCCACATTGCTTTATTTAGAACTTGCATTCTAATGTTAAATTACTGCTTAAGGGGCCGGCTCATTTGGTTAATCCTCCACCTGCAGCACCTGCATTCCATAAGGGCACCTGGTTCTAGTCCCGGTTGCTCCTCTTCCAGTCCAGCTCTCTGCTGTTACCCGGGAAGGCAGTGGAGGATGGCCCAAATGCTTGGGCCCCTGCACCCAATTGGGAGACCAGGAGGAAGCACCTGGCTCCTGGCCTCGGATCGGCACAGCGTCGGCCGAAGCGGCCATCTGGGGAGTGAACCAACGAAGGAAGACCTTTCTCTCTGTCTCTCTCTCTCACTGTCTATAACTCTACCTATCAAATAAATTTTTAAAAAAATTACTACTTAAGATTATATATGCAGGCCGGCACCGCGGCTCACTAGGCTAATCCTCCGCCTTGCGGCGCCGGCACACCGGGTTCTAGTCCCGGTCGGGGCGCCGGATTCTGTCCCGGTTGCCCCTCTTCCAGGCCAGCTCTCTGCTGTGGCCAGGGAGTACAGTGGAGGATGGCCCAAGTGCTTGGGCCCTGCACCCCATGGGAGACCAGGATAAGTACCTGGCTCCTGCCATCATATCAGCGCGGTGCGCCAGCCGCGGCGGCCATTGGAGGGTGAACCAACGGCATAGGAAGACCTTTCTCTCTGTCTCTCTCTCACTGTCCACTCTGCCTGTCAAAAAAAAAAGATTATATATGCAGTGTAATCACTACTTAGTTTGCAGCTGCTCTGTTACATATAGCATAGATGTGTCACATTTGTTTTAAAACTTTGAATTCAACAGCGCTATTATATTTTTAAAATTTCTTTTTAATGATTAGAGAACGACAGTGGGTAGATGATTTCCCTCTCCATCGAAGTGCCTGTGAAGGAGATTCAGAATTACTTAATCGTCTTCTCAATGAAAGATTTTCAGTCAACCAATTAGATAGTGATCACTGGGCTCCCATTCATTATGCATGCTGGTAAGTGGATTATTTATTCTTTTCTTTTCTGAAAGAATGAACTCTTGGTTATAAGTATGTGTCCTTCTTATCAAAACTATTTCCATTCCAAACACTTTTTTTTTTTCTCTGCCATGTTTACCTTTAGAGCTTTCTATTTTGGTCTTTGGTGCTTTATAATGCCACTATTCAAAATTGTAACATCTTGCTCCATTGGACAAGTAGGCCAGTGTTCCTAGGAACTGCTGAGTCATGCAGTAGGATAGTCAATAACTAGTAAATGTCATCATACAGTACAAAGTCCTTTTGTCACTCTTAGTTTCTGGTTTTTTGTATGGATGTGAATATTATGTTAGTATATCCTTAATATAAAATGTGCATATATTAACTACTTAAAATGTGACCCTGAATCTTGTCAGGAAAGTATCCTTTCAGTTCTTCGAGAAGCTGTGGTATCAAAAAGTCTCCAGAAGCCTTCATTGGAATCACAGTCTTCCTGCTTTTAGATGTGAGGGTTGCAACAGGACTGGGGTTAGTTCTTTCTTTTTCTTAAAGATTTGTTTTATTTATTTGAAAGGCAGAGTTAGAGAGAAAGAGAAGTCTTCCATTCACTGGTTAACTCCCCAAACGGCTGCGATGGCCAGAGCTGGCCTAGGCCGAAGCCAGGAGCTTTATCTGAGTTTCCCATGTGGTTGCAGGGCCCCAAGGGCATGGGCTGTCTTGTGCTGCTTTCCCAAGCACGCTAGCAGGAAGCTAGATCAGAAGTGGAGCATCTGAGACTCTAACTGGTGCTCCTATGGGATGGCAGTGTTGCAGGCTGTGGCTTTACCTGCTACACCACGATGCTGCCCCCAGGTTAGCTCTTTCTACTACTTGTCAAATATAGCTCTGACTCTCCTCCTGTTTCTCCATAATAACTCTTTTCCTCACCTAGGCTAAGTTCTTAGTGCTCACAGCTTAGTGCTGTGAATTTCCTTTGCCTGTGTAAGAACTATCATGTTGGGTACTGCCTGTAAATATCAGTAATGCCAGCTGTGTCACATTAAGTAAGGAACTCTACTTCCCTGCATATCTGTTTATTTATCTGCATGTGTAGTACCATAGTGCATTTCTAGAGTTCTCTTGAACTCAAAATTCTTTTGCTTTCTCTGATTCTAATGTTTGTGATTATATAGCGAAATATGAGGGTGCTTCAAAAGTTCATGGAAATGAAATTAAAAGATAGGTTATTTTTGTGCATAACATTTTTTCAATCCTTGCATGATTTTTTTTTTCACAGTATGCATTTTCCATGAAGAAGAAGTAAACATACAAAGTGTCTTCAGAAAGTTCATGGAAAATACACATTATGAAAAACTATGCATGGATTTCAGTGGGGAGTATTTTGTTTTTGGTTTTTGCACTAAAATAAACCCCCCTTTTTTTAGAGAGAGAGAGAAAGAGATAGAGAGCACTCCTATATGCTGGTTCGTTCTCCAAATTCCCACAATGTCTGAGGCTGAGTGAGGTCCTTAGGCCAGGAGCCAGACACACAATCCAAGTCTCTCATAAGGATTGCAGAAACCCAATTATTTGAGCCATCACTCCTGCCTGCCAGGGTTTGCATTGGTGGGAAGCTGGAGTCAGAAGTCAAAGCTGGAAACTGATCCCAGACACTCCAGTGTGGGACACGGGTCTCTTAGCTGCTGAGCTAAGCACTCACTTCAACAAATCAGATTTTTTTTTTTAATAAGTCAGAATTACAGAGAGGGAGAGAGGGATATCTTTTATCCTATGGTTCATTCCCAAGCCAGGAGCTTCTTCCAGGTCTCCCTTGTGGGTACAGGGGCCCAAACACTTGGGCCATCCTCCACTGCTTTCCCAGGCACACTAACAGAGAGCTGGATCAGAAGAGAAGTGGCTGGGGAATTGGGCTGGTACCCATATGGGACTTGGTGTTGCAGATAATGGCTTAACCTGCTGTGCCACAGCACTAGCCCCAAATCAGTTTATCTTAATTCCATTTTTTCCGTGAAATTTTTCCAGTACCCTTGTGTAGTTTAAACCTCAAGAAAGTATGTTGTGGAATTAGAACAGGCAAAGGCAGTGAATTTTAGTCTAGGAATTCCAGATTTATGGTTCTCTTTTGCTCTTTTTAAGTGGCAGGGGATTATTCTGTAAGAAACAATGATAATGTTTTCAACTCCTATAACATAAAAACAAAATATGTATAGTATTTGATGTACATGGAATGGACCTAGGTTTCAGTCCCAACAGTTAGTTCCTAAAAGTACGGCCAAGTTATTTAAGTCTTCAAGGTCTTTTTAGTTATCTGTAAGATGGGGTTTTTTACTTTCCCTAAAATTTGAATAGAAAATGCAAATAAGGTGCTTTGAAAGCATATAGTAAGAACTAGGTAGATGTTGGCTTTTATTAGTAAATACTGTTAAAATACAAAGATTTTAATGTCTAAACCTAAAATTTATTATCATGGTATTTTTAAGATTAATTTTTTGTCAGCTGGAAATACTAATATTTAGTTCACCAGGAGCAATATAGTTCACTTTGCAGTACTTTTAATCAGATGCATCATTTGATTGATATGAATTTGAATTTAAAAATTACTTAAATTACTTTATCTTGGAAATATATTCTTAGTACTAATTGGTGCAAGGATTGAGGCGAGTACACTGGGCTATGATTGAAACACTGAGGTTTGGTCCTGTCTTTGTAAGGTCAGACAAGGCATTTTACCCCTCTTAGTTTTCTCATTTTTAAAATAGAATTTTGGATTAGGTCAATAGTTCTCAAACTTTCTGGTCTGAAGACCCCTTTATACTGCTAAAAGATACAGAATATCAAAGAACTTTTGCTTATGTGGATTAAATCTAGTAGTATTTACCATATTAAAAATTACAACTGAGAGGTATTTTAAGTGTTTATTTTATAACAACAATATGCATATTAATATAAAAATTAATTTTAGGAAAAATACCATATTTTTCAAAATTTAAAAAAAATCAGTGAAAAGGGTAGCATTGCTGTACATTTCCACACATCTCTTTATGTCTAGGTTAATAGAAGATAACTGGATTCTCTCATTTACTTCTGCCTACAGTCTGTTACAGTATTACATGTTATAAAGTTTCTAGAAAACTCTGCACTAATGAATTATGAAAATTAAAAGGGAAAATAATATATGAATATTATTATTACATTTGACCCAGAGAATACCCTGAAAAGTTTAGGGATCCTCTTTGGTTTCCATATTACCTTTTGAGGTTCATTTAATGAGGTCACCCTAGGATTGCTCTAAGCTAAGATTTCTAAATTGGTGACCAGGCACCTAAAATCTGTTCTTTGCTTTCTGGAGTTAACATTTTCCCAAACTGTTTAATTAGCTTTTACCTAGTCAGAAAACTTGTGGAAAATTTGTCAGCCACTCAGTAAATATGTCACATCTCATATTCGCTCACCTCTTTATTCTTCCTGTGCAACCTATATCAGACCCTCCATTTTCAATTAGAGCAGTGTCGTCTTTCTCTGATAGTACTTTTAGGCATCAGATCACTGCTAGAGGGTGTTTTTAGAACAATGGTATTATGACTCCCTATAAATTATGCCATCTCATTTCATTTGGGCCTCTAATATAGCTTAGCTAACTCTCCAATTTTTTGAATTCACTATGTCAACCTTTTAGTCCTCCCTTTCAAACTATCCTAAATCTTGTTACTCTTGAGAATTTAAACTGCTGCTACTTTCTCTGCTTTCATAACTCCCCATACTTTTACCCTCTGTTTCAAAGAAACTTGAAGCCATCAGAAATGTCCTCTGTTTCTAATGATTGGTTGGGTTTTGTTCCCACATCTCCTGTATTGTAGGATTTGCATGTAAAAATCCTTCCTGTTCCTCATTTCTGTTTGTGCACGGTTCTTTCCTCCGTCCCTTCAAAAACACCTACTTCTCTCTCTCCTTGCAAAGCACCTTAGTGTGGCCCTGCTGCCTTTCCTTCCCACTATCCTGTTTCCCTTTTACAGCAAGACTTCAGAGGTGAGTGCGCCACATTCGCACTTTTTCTCTTTCGCTCTTCATTAACCTTCTTAACCTGCCAGAATTTTTAACCCTTTCCTTTCTGTACACTGTTCACCATCCCTACATTCTAGGAACAAATTGGAGTTGAAAGGGCATATTAGAGCTTTGTCAGTACAAATGCAAGATATCATTGCTACCTTACCATCATTATTATTGAAATACTGTTCTCCACTCTGTGATCCAAGCGTTTGTCAAAGTATGGGAAAAGAGTAAGATTCAGAAAGCTGGCTTCTAACTCTGGCTGGTAACTGTGAGACCTTGCGGAAATTATTTAACTGGATCAAGCTTCGTTTTTCTTGTCTGTTGGAATCGAAATGCCTCTGCTTACCTCATAAGTTGCTATCAAAATCATCTTAAGTAATTATATAGGAAAGTGGCTGGAAAATGTTTAAAGCACCACATAAAATATATGCTTGATTATTTTTATTATTCTTTTAAAAAATGTTTATTTATTTATTTGAAAGTCAGAATTACATACACAGAGAGAGAGAGAGAGGGAGAGAAGTCTAACATCTGATGGTTCACTCCCCAGTTGGCCGCAATGGCCGGTGCTGAACCGATCCAAAGCCAGGAGCCAGGAGCTTCTTCTAGGTCTCCCACATGGGTGCAGGGACCCAAGCACTTGGGCCATCTTCTGCTGCTTTCCCAGGCCATAGCAGAGAGCTGGATTGGAAGTGGAGTGGCCGGGTCTCAAACTGGCGCCCATATGGGATGCCAGTGCTTCAGGCAAGGGTGTTAACCTGCTGCACCACAGCACCAGCCCCTGTTATTACTTCTTAAGTAGCTCTCACAGTGTTTTCCTATAAGGGTGTTTTCCCAGATGTATTTCATTATTGTAAGATGCTTATCTTTCTCTAAATTCTCTCTCAAGAAGGTTTCATTCATTCTTCAAGTGATAACAATAATTCTTTTAAGTTAGATGATTTTACATACCTTTATGCCTTTGTCTTCCTCCTGAGTACCAATCCTGCAAATTTCAGCTGCTTACTAAATGGTTTAATCGCTCATCTTTTGTGCATAAGGCTCATTGGCGACTGCAAAAAGATAACTCCCTGTCCTCAAAGAATTTTCAGGTTGATTTTAAAGAAAAGGGATATGTAAGTCCCATAAAAGAAGCAAACAATAAAATGCTAATTATAGTGAAAATAGAGGAATTTGATCTTCTGTGTTAGAGAAATAATGGAGTGTTTCTGAAGCAAAAGACAAAAAATATAAGCAAAAAATCACATAAATAAGAAAGTGTAAGAGTCAAGTAAACAGTTCAGGGTATAAGAAAATCATACTTTATATAAATGGGAAGAAAAATTGTGGGCAGTTTGTAAAGATGTGCTCTTTTCCCCTCCAGTGCACTGTATCTAAAAATCAAATTCCCCTCCCCCTTGCCTCCGTCACTGCTTTATTTCGAGCATCCACTTTGTGCCGTTGCTTCAGATCGCAGCCTTCTGTGAATCCTCGTCTTCAGCCTGACGTGGGTGACTCATGGGGCTGGCACATGCTTTGTGCTCTTCTGAGACCTTGCTTCGCTTCCCCCCTTTTTCCCTACCTAAAATACTTCATATGTCTTCAATATCTCTTCCATTATTCCTGTTTAAAAACAATCCAGTTTGTATTGTTCTATCAAAACACTTTCCAGGACTGCCTTGGGCTGAGGTCATATCTCTCTTTTCCTGTAATTTTTAAAGCATTAATTATGTGCCAGTTTGGCTTGACAAATATAAAATGTCTTATTTTGTTGATTGTTATCCTAAACCATCATTTACACATTAAAGCATTACCCTACGCTTGTCTTTTACCTGATTACATTATAAATCTTCAGAGCAGAGACTGTCACATATCTTATGTATTTCAATGTCTCTCACATTGCCTGGTATAGCAACTGTATGTAGGGTTATCTTTGTGTCTGTTTTGTAAAGCATCATCAGGCCTATCTGAAAAACATTCTTACTAAGTTTGTTTATGTTTCTTTCTGATCCTGAACCTATTTTTTACTAGAAATTATATCTCCCTAAGATAGAACTTCTGTTCTCTGTGTGGGGTGTTTCTGTTACCTGCCTTATTTGATGTTATATTTTCCCCCAGTCGATCAGAAATAGAAACAGATTGAATTGAACCAGAGTAGTTCTTAAGAAATTCCCAAGCACTGAAAGCATTTATGTCGGTGTTTAATGTCTTAATCCTTTGCTCTCTGTCCTAGAACATTCTTAGATTTCTGTGAAATATCATGTAAGATTTGGATTTTGAAAACATTTCAGATAACTTTCTTAGGTAGGTTTTATTTTTTTTATAGGTATGGAAAAGTTGAGGCCACTCGCATCTTATTAGAGAAAGGAAAGTGCAATCCAAATCTGTTAAATGGACAGCTTAGTTCCCCTCTTCATTTTGCTGCGGGAGGAGGACATGCTGAAATAGTCCAGATTCTCCTAAGCCACCCAGAAATTGACAGAGTAAGTTATTTTCCAGGTTAACAAATAATGACACTAAATAATATATATATAGTTGAAAGGTCAGCTAAAAAATAAAAACAAATTTCACTTTATATTAAGTAAGTAATGTATGCATTGTGTTTTTGAACATACATTTTAAAAAATTATTTATTTGAAAGGCAGAAAAATAGAAAGAGACAGAGATCTCCTATCTGCTCACTTCCCAAATGTGTACAACAGCCTTGGCTTGGCCTGGCTGAAGCCAGTAGCTTGAAACTCAGTTCAGGTTACCCAAGCGGGTGGCAGGGACCCAGTTACTTGAACTGTTGTTACCTGCTGCCTCCCAGGGTATGCATTAGCAGGAAGCTGGGATTGGGAGCAGAGCTAGGACTTGAAACCAGGCACTGCGTAAGGAATGCAAGCATCACAATTAGTATCTTAACTGCTAGGCCAAACGTCCACCCGTGACTGTGAATTTTTAAATTTTTATTGTGCTAAAGTACATCTCAAAATTTACAGTTTTATCCATTTTTAGGTATACAGTTGATTAGTGTGCAGTCATCACCATTATCCCATTTCTAGGAAGTACATTAAATTTAACCTCTTGCGATTTTATATTGTATTTCTCCAAAAGTGTCTTGAAAAAGAAAAAATATTTCTATTTTCTAAAAGTTTGAATACTTAAGTAGAAAATAATAATATTAGTAAAATCTTTTTTTCTTTTAAAGATTTATTTATTTACCTGAGAAGTAAAGTTATAAACAGAGGAAGAGACAGAGAGAAAGGTCTTCTGTCCGCTGGTTCGCTCCCCAAATGGCCCCAACAGCTGGAACTAGGCTAATCTGAAGCCAGGAGCCAGGAGCTTCCTCTGGGTCTCCGATGTGGGTGCAAGGGCCCAAGCACTTGGGCCATCTTCCACTGCTTTTCCCAGGCCATAGCAGAGAGCTGGGTCGGAAGAGGAGTGGCCAGGACATGAACCAGTGCCTATGTGGGATGCCCCTGCCACTGCAGGGGCTTAGCCCACTACGACATGGCTCCGGCCCCAGTAAAACCTTTTGATATCTAATCTATATCAGAACTTAAAAAAAATTCCATTGATTAGTGCTTTCACTCTTTTATTTAATTGTGTTTAATATTAAGTGTGTATTAAGTGTGTCTAATATTTAATACTTAACAAGAGTCTATTTTTATTAAACTTTGATTTGTTGAATATAGTTGCAGTGATCATTTTTTCCTTTTTCTCTCCCTTATTTCTAGCATATAACAGACCAACAGGGAAGATCTCCATTAAATATTTGTGAAGAAAACAAACAAAATAACTGGGAAGAAGCAGCAAAATTGTTGAAGGAAGCCATTAACAAACCAGTAAGAATTATGTTCATAAATAGAGCCAAGCATAATATTGAAAATAATAGATTATTTCAGAGCCTTTGGCAAGGATAAATGGATGGAGGAGTTCTTTATTAGTATAAAACTCAGAGCTATACTAGTATAAAACTCAGTGCCAAAATAAAACACAAAATATCATGACATTTAAAAAAATAACCTAATTGAAAAATAACCTAATTGAAAAATAACCTAATTGCTGGACTTCATCTGGACTTCATATTTATTATTTTTGTTATCCTTAACACATGGACATTTATTTTTATATCACAAAATAAAACTTATAAAATAAATAAAGCTTCCAAGATCCTTAAAGTTGATCTAAATTCTAGTGTAATCTCTATAGTCATGTGTTTTTATTCTAGCAAACGCATCACTAGCTACTGTCCTTCACAACATACACTATGCAGTAGCACAGTTCTAACAGGAAAGTTCTAAGAAAGGCATCTTTAAGTGATTTCACCATGATGCTAACATCATTGGGTGTACTTACACAAAGATGGTATAGCATACTACACACCAAGGCTGTGAGGATTATACCGTCAAATGTGTGGTCTGTTGTTGCCCAAAACATCATTATGTGGCATATAACTCTCCTGGTGTGCTGATTACAGGTAAGTCTAATCTATTCATTGAAGTATAGCTTTCTGCTTAGGCCTTCCAAGCAACATTTTATATTTGCAAATAAAAAGTCTGCATGTCATTCACTAGCTTAGACTCAACAAGTTAGTTTTTGTATAACAGATTCATTTTCCTCACAAATATGTAGTAATACCCTGTTCTTTTATTGTATTAATTCATTCTGATCTTTCCATCTGACTACACCTGAAATTAATTCATATACCTAATGCTGAACACATATAGCTATAAAAGAATATTGTGTTAAAAGATTAAGGTTTTGGGGCTGGGTTAAGCTGCTGCCTACAACACAGACATCCCATATTGGAGCACTGGTTTGAGTGCTGGCTGCTCTGCTTCCAATCCAACTCTCTGCTAATGTGTCTGGAAAAGCAAAGGAAGGTGGCCTAAGGACTTGGGCTTCTGCTACCCTTGTGGGATACCCAGTAGTTCAGGCTTCTGGCTTTGGCCTTGTCCAGCCCTGGCCATTGCTGCCATTTGGGAAGTAAGCCAATGAATGGATCAATCTCTCTTTTCTCTCTCTCTCCCTCCCTCTTTCCCTCTCCCTCCCTCTTCCTCCCTCTTTCCCTCTTTCCCTCTCCCTCCCTCCCTCCCTCTCCCTCCCTCTCTTTCCCTCTCCCTCTCTCACTCTCTTTTCCTCTCCCTCTCTCCCTCTCTCTCTCCCTCACTCTATCTCCCTCCCTCTCTATCCCTCTCCCTCTCTCACTCTCTATTCGTCTGCCCTCTCTCCCTCTCTCTCACCCTCCCTCTCTCTCCCTCCCTCTCTTTCCCTCTCCCTCTCTCACTCTCTTTTCCTCTCCCTCTCTCCCTCTCTCTCTCCCTCCCTCCCTCTCCCTCCCTCTCTTTCCCTCTCCCTCTCTCACTCTCTTTTCCTCTCCCTCTCTCCCTCTCTCTCTCCCTCCCTCTCTCTCCCTCCCTCTCTTTCCCTCTCCCTCTCTCACTCTCTTTTCCTCTCCCTCTCTCCCTCTCTCTCTCCCTCCCTCTCTCTCCCTCCCTCTCTTTCCCTCTCCCTCTCTGGCTCTCTTTTCCTCTCCCTCCCTCCTTCCCTCCCTCCCTCTCCCTTTCTCTCTCCCTCCCTCCCTTCCTCTCTCCATCTCCCTCCTTCCCTCCCTCTCTGCTTTCTCTCCCTCTGTGTCTGTAACTCTGCCTTTCAAATAAATAAATCTTAAATAAATAAAAGATTAAAGTTTTATTAGTGATATTGAGGTAGAGGAGAATTAACAACTAGAAAAAAATTCAGGTACACCTAAAAGTTATGTGATAATAAAACTCATCTGAAAACTTACAAACTAGACATAAAGATTTATACCATGAAAACTTCTTACCAAAATATATAACCCTTTTCTATATATTAATGATCAACTAGACAATAAATATTGAGTGTCGATGAATTTAACACTATAAAATGCTGAAAGTGATAGGAATATGTGATCTCTGCCTTAAAGGAATATTATACACACCTAAGTACTGCACACCTGTACATATTTTGCCAAGACTCTATTCTAGGAACATAAGAAAGACATAATCAAGTTACAGATAAAGCTGTACAGACACACTTAGGTTATACTTCATTACAATTTATTTTCTAACTGTATAGTTGTAATAGATTTTTCATTCCTGGCATAATTGTTTTACTGTGAATGGGTAAGAAGAATTAGATACTTTTATGCAATATGAACTGGCTTGGAAATTGGGAGGTACCATTTGCTTCCCATGACAATAAAAATCGTTAAAATGCCCCTACTCTGGGATTTTCTAAACTGGCAGATTTTCTGAACTAGCTCAGTTTTTATTTGCTGGAAAACTTAAATCTACTAAATCTTCCATCACAGATTCCTCTTAAGAGACATTACTATGGCCACACATTTCTTGTATAATTTGCAGCCCATTAGATTCATGAGCTACTTGATGAACACCAGAATCAGTAGTTATCTCTGTATCCCCCACACGATATTTACGTGTACCTTAAAAGCTCTGAAATAACCTCTATTAAGAACCTCTTGAAGTGCAATATATTTTAAGAAGCCATTTTGCTTATTTTCCAAAACTTATTTAATCATGAAACCTTCAGAAGAAAATATTTTTGGAAAATACAAATAATAGAAATAAAATATCTTTTAAAAAACAATTATTTGCTTATTTGAAAGGCAGAGTTAGAGAGAGATTGATCTTTCATCTATAGGCTCACACCCCAAGTGGAGGATTCAGCCAGACTGAAAATGGGAGCCTCCATCCAGGTCTGGCCCGAGCACCCGTGCCATCTTTCTCTGCCCTCCCAGGTGCATTAGCAGGGAGCTGGATCAGAAGTGCTGCAGCCAGGACTGGAACTGGGCATTGCAGGTAGAGATTTAACCTGCTGAGCTACAATGCCAGCCCCTAGAATATCTTTAAAAAGCTGCCAACAGATTCTTACTGGAAGCAGTTTTTCTGATGTTTTCCATGTTAGAAATCTAATAAAATATCTGAAGTTTAAAGTTATCTTGTTAGATTGTGATATGTAGTTTTTAAGCAGGTTGTATAATTTACTGTTCCTTGTCCTAGTATGAAAAAGTTAGAATATACAGAATGGATGGATCATACCGTTCTGTTGAGCTGAAGCATGGAAATAATACCACGGTACAGCAGATAATGGAAGGAATGCGTCTCTCTCAAGAAACACAGCAGTATTTCACTATTTGGATCTGTTCAGAAAACCTTAGTAAGAAAGTTTTTTTATTTTGTTTTTTAAACTCTTATTTCATTTTGGGAGTGATGTTGATAAACCTAGATATAACATTTTATATTGACCTTTGCATTTTTAAATACTGCAGTATTACTCTCTGTTTTATAAATTATTGTTCAATTCCTGAAACAGGTAAGTCCCTGGGCCCCCCTCCCCTGCTTCATTCAAAGCAGTGTTTAAGTAGTAAAACCTCAAATCTTCTCACAGCAGTATTTGATTCAAAGGATGTGAAATGTGGTGTTTACTCGTACAGCTAGCCATTATTTTAACTGCCGATCTTAAACTAATACAATTTGTTCCCCTGTATTAGCTTTCTTTCAAACTTTCTGATTCAGAGTCAACCTAGTGCTGCTGTAGGCTTGTCCCTCGAAATATTGGAAACACACGAAGGATTTAACTGATGCTGCTGCTGATTTGACGGTGTAATATGTCTCTTTCACACCAAATTCTCATTATGTCATCAATAAGCTATAATGGAATGAATAATTTTATGTACAGTATATATTTTGTTAAGAATGCTAACATTATTAGAAACAAGCAGTTAACCACAAATTGGGTAATAATATTGATTCAAATAAATATTGATTTAATTTTAGATTTGTGTGTGCAGATAGTCTAATACAAAGTTTCTGTGCATTGATAGAATTGGTTTATTTTAGATTATCACTTAATAAAGAAGAGCTGTTTTTCAGGCCTTCAACTCAAGCCTTATCATAAACCCTTGCAACATGTTCGTGACTGGCCAGAAATTCTTGCTGAATTGACTAATTTGGATCCCCAAAGGGAAACGCCACAGCTTTTTCTGAGAAGAGACGTGAGGCTTCCTTTGGAAGTTGAAAAAAAGGTTTGCTTAGAAATCTATTCACCATCATTTAAATGCACTGAATCTATTGAGAATCTGTTGAGTAGGCACCAGAGGTAGAAACTGTAGTGTTCCTGTATTAAGAGTTTTACTTCTGATTTTCTGTTCAGTTCTTACATGCCTGTGGTAAGTTGCACTTTCCGTTGCAATCCACTCCCATTGTCTTAAGAATACAAAAGAAATAAACTATCCTGAAGAAAATTAGCAAAGAGACAAATTATGGAGAAAATTAATTTTTATAATAGTTAGGAAATGGTGTCAAAGACAGACAGTAAATGGTACTTAGTCATGTAAATTTCAAAGGCAAAAAGATATTTTTTAGGGGACAGAGCAAGAAAAACACTTGGTAGAAAAACTTAAATTTGCAAAGAAGAGGTAATTAAGTTATTAGTGTTAAGTAGATGTTCTTGAATCAAGCAGAGAACTACATAGATAGTAAAACATCGTTACAAACAATTATTTTAAGATTTAAACTGCTGTACATTTTAGAGAAAAGGTGAGATAATGCCATTAGATAAACAAGCAAGGGAGAAATCTGAGAGATTATAACAACTTAAACGATGTATGGTGATCTAAGTATGGAAGCTATGAAAATTGGGAGAAAAAATATAGTTGAAAGGTTTCACAATGTTAGTGAAAAAAAGTGTGATTTTTCATCTGAGGGAATGTTACAACAGACAAGACATGAAGATTTCCATGCCCACATTCAATCTTGGTAAATGTTTTGTATCTCTGTCTTGTCACTTTCATATTTTCCCATGAACTTTTTGAAGTTCCTACATATTCTGAAGCCAACAGATTTGATCCTGTAAGCCAAATATATGTTAGTTTCATAAAAATTTGTATGAAATTTACCAAAAACTAAGGTTTTGAAATTTGTTATACACATTTTTTTTTTTTTTTTTGACAGGCAGAGTGGACAGTGAGAGAGAGAGAGACAGAGACAGAGAGAAAGGCCTTCCTTTTCCGTTGGTTCACCCCCCAAATGGCCACTATGGCCGGTGTACTGCGCCAATCCGAAGCCAGGAGCCAGGTGCTTATCCTGGTCTCCCATGTGGGTGCAGGGCCCAAGCACTTGGGCCATCCTCCACTGCCCTCCTGGGCCACAGCAGAGAGCTGGACTGAGAATCCAGTGCCCCAACCGGGACTAGAACCTGGGGTGCCGGCACCGCAGACGGATGATTAGCCAAGTGGGCCGCAGCACCAGCCTTAACAAATTCTAATACCTTTTCATGGTAAGAACTCAGAAAACTAGGAACAAAAGGGAACTTCCTCAATGTAATAAAGGGTATTTATGAAAACTCCACAGCTAATGCCGTATGCAGTGGTGAAGGTCTAAAAACTGTCCTCCCAAGATCACGAATAAGACAAGGATGAATGTTTCATCATTGCCATCTTACCTTGTACTGAGAATGGTAACCAAAGCAGCTAGACAAGGGGAAAGTAAAAGGGGAAGGGAGACATTTGAATTAGAAAAGAGAAAGTGAAATTTTGCCTATTTGCAAATGTCAAATATATTAGAAATTCCAAAAAAAATTTGTTATTTGGGGAGTGAAACACCAGATGGAAGATTCTTTCTGTATCTCTCCATTTCTCTGTCACTCTGCATTTCAAATAAATAAATCTTTTTTAAAAGATTTTTTAAAATTTATTTATTTATTTGAAAGTCAGAGTGACAGAGAGAGAGGAGGAGAGGCAGAGAGAGAGAGAGAAAGAGAGGTCTTCCATCTGCTGGTTCACTCCCCAGTTGGCTGCAGCGGCCGGAGCTGCGCTGATCTGAAGCCAGGATCCAGGAGCTTCTTCCGGGTCTCCCACATGGGTGCAAGGGTCCAAGGACTTAGGCCATCTTCTACTGCCACCCCAGGCCAGAGCAGAGAGCTGGATCAGAAGTGGAGCAGCCAGGACACTGGCACTGCGGGCAGCGGCTTTACCCGCTACACCCCATAAATAAAGCTTTTTAAAAAACAAGTGTGTGTGTGTATATATATATATATATATATATACACATATACACATATATATATGATCATCTGGTAAACTAATTTTGACATTCACTCATAATTTCTATTTGTACCATCTGAAAAATAAAAAATTATATGTATTGATTAGTATCTTTTTTTAGGATGAAAGTGGCTTGATTTCATTAGGAGAGAATTGTTTGCTAAAAACTCATTAAATATGCCATTGGAAATTGCAAATATTATGAGCTACTCAGACTCTTCAAATTTATTAAGTCTATTTTTATTAGAAAAATATGCTTTCAGTCTTTTTCCCCAATATTTTATTTTGGAAACTTAAGGGGAAAAAAGCCCATAGGAAAATTGAAAAAGTAATATAATTTACACTATGGACCATTCATTGAATGGACTAGTTGTTAACATTTTGCTACATTTACTTTATCTTTCCTTTTTTTTTCCTTTGTGAATCATTTTTAATTGAGTTGCAAATGTCACGGCACTTCATTGTCCACATGTTCTGGCATGCATCTAAGAATAAGGACATGTGAAAGTACTTCAAAGAGTTCATGGAAAATGGAAATAAAAGATGTTAATTTTGGTACCAACCATAGTATTTTCATAACATGCATTTTCCAGGAGCTTTCTGAAGACTCATCGAAACTACATACCACAGTATCATTTTCAACCTAATAAAATTAATATTTTCATGTTAACATCTATTATTTGATCCAAATTCAGATTTCTTTCCCAATCCTTCATAAAGTCTTTTCTAACTCCCACCTGCAGAATCTAATCAGGGTTCTTGCTTTGTGTTTGCTTTTGTTTAATCTCTTTATATCTAGAATAGTTCTCCTGTCCCAGTTTTTTATATTGTGATAGAATATTGTAAGATAGAAAAAATAGTATTTTATTTAGTATGACAATTATTTTTGCCACAAGGACTTAGGGTCATTGTAAATTATATTTGGAAATGCTTTAATTTTTTTTCAGAAACTTTATAATAGGTGATTATTTCCAAGTACAAGTATATTCTTTTTTTTTTTTTCAAACAGGCAGACTGGACAGTGAGAGAGAGACAGAGAGAAAGGTCTTCCTTTTGCCGTTGGTTCACCCCAATGGCCATTCTGGCCAGTGTGCTGCAGCCAGTGCACCGCATTGATCCGAAGCCGGGAGCCAGGTGCTTCTCCTGGTCTCCCATGCGGGTGCAGGGCCCAAGCACCTGGGCCATCCTCCACTAGCTTCCCGGGCCACAGCAGAGAGCTGGACAGGAAGAGAAACAACCGGGACAGAACCGGTGCCCCAACCCAGACTAGAACCCGGTGTGCCGGCGCCGCAGGTGTAGGATTAGGCTATTGAGCCGCGGTGTCAGCCAACTATATTCTTTATAGTAGTATTTCTCAATCTTTATTACTCTTACTGGATAAAATGAAACTTCAAAGTTTTTAAAACTTAATAAACAATCTATACTCCAATGTTATTTGAAACTGTAAATTATGTTTAACATTAAACCAAAAACTGTTTGAAAACAAACTTTTTAAAATTAGATTTGTCCTGGTAATTGACAATTCTTTCTGTCTTCTTTGAAGCTCACTACTATATTGTACAAAGCATAGATGACAAAAAAATGTTTCAGGACTATAAAGATTTAGGCAAAATTGTTGCTAGAAATTATCCTTATTCATAAGCTAGTGATAGCATTATTAGATGGTGGCAAACAACAGCCTCTGGCTGTGTCCTTCCTGCTGCCTCATTCTATACAGCCCACAAGCTAAGAGGAGTTTTTAATATTTTTAATGGATAACAAAAATGAAAATAATATTTCAAGTAGAAATTTTATTAAATTCTGATTTCACTATCTTATATACAGTGTACCAAAACCTAGCGCCACACCTATTTGTTGATGTGTTGCCTGTGACTGTTGCTGAGTGGTTGTAACAGAGGTTGTAAGGCTAACAAATCTTAATAACTGTCTTAATTACGTAACAGTAGAAGTTGCTGATCCCTGTTCTAAAGTAGTACCAGTTCATTTATACAGATACGTACTTTTGCTTTTTCCATACTAGACAATGACAAGTTGTACATTTGTAAAAGGAAATTGTAGTCTAATAACCAAATTATACTTTCTCTTTTTAAGATTGAAGACCCACTAGCTATTCTTATTCTCTTTGATGAAGCCAGATATAACTTACTGAAGGGCTTTTATACAGCTCCTGATGCCAAATTGATAACTTTGGCAAGTCTACTGTTGCAAATAGTTTATGGAAATTATGAGAGTAAGAAACACAAGCAAGGTTTCCTGAAGTAAGTATTTAATAGGATGTATGATCTTGTAATTTTAGAATCTGTTTAAGAAAGTTGAAAAATATTTATTAGAAAATATTTGTACATTTGTTTGGAATTAAATATTTAAGTACAATGCATAGAATGATAAAAAGCTACTATAGTAATGTATATTTATATTCTTATATTTTCCAAAGTTATTTTTCTTTTATTTGACTATAGTATGATATGCTTTAGATTTTCTTTAAATTTCTTTACTATATATTTAAATAATTTCACTAGTACCTGACTTGAATAAAGAGTAAACAAAATTTAAAGGTTAAAAACTAATGGCATGTTCAGTCTTTGAGAGAACACTGAGATTGTAGTACATCTGAAGTTTGTCTTTTGTGGTTTTCAACTTTCAAAAATATTTTCTGGTTATTGAAAGAAGAAACATTTCTCTACATTGATATTAGGATCGTGACTTTTTTGCTTAAAATTTTTAAAGTTCTCTAATATTTTAGAGCATTTTTCAGCTTAAAAATTGTTACTTCAAGCCACTTGTAACATGATTATTATAATTTAGCTCTTAAAGGTGATTCATTTAATATATGTTGGCATGTGTATTTACAGTGAAGAAAATCTAAAATCCATTGTACCTATCACCAAACTGAAGAGTAAGGCACCTCACTGGACAAACCGAATACTTCATGAATACAAAGTAAGTTATTTCATAACCATAAAAAGCATTTCATAGCTTAGTTGAAATTTTATTAATGTTATTAATGATTTGAATTTGTATAGTTTTAGTTCTGAAAACTAAAAATGGATGTAGATCATGATGCCTGTAGCTTAAAATAGCAAGCTATTTTTTACTTTAGTATAATGTAGAGTCTAATACCAAATACCATATGCTGAATGTTGAGATATGGGACAGAGGTAAAAATTTGGAATAATATACTGTCCTTGCCCATGAGGCACTTAAAACCTAATAGATTGTACAAGCAATATTTTTTTAAAAAAATTAAGATCACAAAAGAAGATACTTTTGGGATAATGTGCCATAATTCTGTTTTTTGGAGTCAGCCTTGATTTTAGAAGCTGCCTAGTTAACATTATTGGATTATCAAAGATAATGCTTTCCTTTCACATCTCCTTTATTTTTATTTTACTTTATTTCTAGAATCTTAGTACAAGCGAGGGTGTTAGCAAAGAAATGCATCACCTTCAGCGCATGTTCCTGCAGAATTGTTGGGAAATTCCCACCTATGGAGCAGCTTTTTTCACAGGACAGATATTTACAAAGGCAAGCCCCAGCAATCATAAAGTCATCCCTGTGTACGTAGGAGTGAATATAAAAGGACTTCACCTCCTCAACATGGAAACTAAGGTAGATGCTCAGCTGTTTTTGACCACTCACAACATCTGTTGTCTAAAATAGCAGGACAGCCTACACAAAGAATCTAGAGATGTTATATGTACAAAGTTATTCATTGTAAAAGATCAGAGAGAAAAGTGAAGTGACTGTTGATAGGGGGTTAATATTATTAATTATAGTACATTTCTGCATTGGAATACCTTTCAGTCATATAAGAATAAAGAATATTTTTGTGTGAAAGGATCTCCAAGATGTATTCAGTGAAAAAGATGTTGAACCATATGTAATACATATCAGTGGTGTAAAAATGGGCGGAAATGGAGACTATCTTTGCATAAATATATGTTGCTTTTGTATGCATTGAGAACTATCTTAAAGCCTTTAGGGAAAGGATCCAGTTTACTGGGAATAGGAGTTAGGAGGGAAACTTTTTACTGTCTTAATGTCTCAGTTTTGGCCGCTGTAACAAAGTACTGTACTGTATAGATGGAATGGTTTCTAAATAACAGATGTTTACTTCTCCTGGAAACTGGAAGTCCAAGATCAGGGCTCCTACATTTTGGGTTCCGGTGAGGACCTGTTTCTGTGTTGTAGATGGCCACCTCCTTGTTGTGTCTTCACATGGCTGAGAAAGCAGGAGAGCACACTAATTGCTCATGACCTGATTGCCTCCCAAAAGCCTCACCTCCTAATACCATCACAGTAGGGGATGGAATTTCAGCATAGGAACAAGAGGAGAACAGAGACATAACAATACAGTCTGAACTTTGTGAATGTATTATCTGTTGACAGCATCAAGTGGTGATTGAAATGAAAAATACAGAGATTTAAAAAGACAGATAGCATATATGATGCAAGGGTTTTGCTCTGAAAATTATGATTAATACAAGCTTTTGGGGGATAAGATAATCATGGAAGAGATTATGAAAATCAATTAGAACTTTAAAGACCTTTCAAACAGAAGTTTGTTACTTTATGATATTCCTTTTTCTAATTAAAGCACTGTAATACAAAATACAGGGTTATCAATTATTTTCACATATTAGCACATTTAGGCAAGATAAACAGCTTTTTAGTTTATGGTAGGAAGCTAATAAAAATCAAATCTGTTCATTCAGATGTCAGGAATAGCCGATTTTTCATTTCAGTGAAAGTGGCAGTTAAACTTACCCATTTTATTTTTATTTTTTATTTTTTTAAATTTTTTTTTGACAGGCAGAGTGGACAGTGAGAGAGAGAGAGACAGAGAGAGAAAGGTCTTCCTTTGCCGTTGGTTCACCCTCCAATGACCGCCGCTGCAGCCGGCGCACCGTGCTGATCCGATGGCAGGAGCCAGGATCCAGGTGCTTTTCCTGGTCTCCCATGGGGTGCAGGGCCCAAGCACCTGGGCCATCCTCCACTGCACTCCCTGGCCATAGCAGAGAGCTGGCCTGGAAGAGGGGCAACCGGGACAGAATCCGGCGCCCCAACCGGGTCTAGAACCCGGTGTGCCGGCGCCGCAAGGTGGAGGATTAGCCTATTGAGCCACGGCGTCGGCTAAACTTACCCATTTTAAAAGCCATTTCATGGGGCCAGCGCCGAGGTATAGTGGGCTAATCCTCTGCCTGTGGCACCAGCATCCCATGTGGGTGCCGGTTCTGTCCTGGCTGCTCTTCTTCCCATCCAGTTCTCTGCTGTGGCCTGGGAAAGCAGTGGAAGATGGCCCATGTCCTTGGGCCCTTGCACCTGCATGGGAAACCAGGAAGAAGCTCCTGGCTTCTGGCTTCGGATCAGTGTGGCTCCGGCCATTTCAGCCATTTGGGGAGTGAACCAACAGAAGGAAGACCTTTCTCTCTGTCTCTCCCTCTCACTGTCTAACTCTACCTCTCAAATAAATAATCTTTTAAAAAAAAAGTCATTTCAGTTTCTGAAAGTGTTTTAAAGACTTATTTTATTTATTTATTTATTTATTTGAAAGGCAGAGTTACAGAGCGGGGTAGAGACAGCGAGAGATAGAGGGAGAGGTCTTCCATCCGATGTTTCACTCCCCAGATGGCTGCAACAGCTGGAGCAGCGCCGATCCGAAGCCAGGAGCCAGAAGTTTCTTCCTGGTCTCGCATGTGGGTGCAGGGGCCCAAGGACTTGGGCCAACTACTACTGCTTTCCCAGGCACAGCAGAGAGCTGGATGGGAAGATGAGCAGCCGGGACTAGAACCAGCACGCGGGATGCCAGCGCTTCAGGCCAGGGCTTTAATCCACTGCACCACAGCGCCAGCCCCCTCAGTTTCTGAAATTTTATCATAAGCCTAGTGTTTGTTTTCTTTATTTTTATTTAATTATTTTTATTTCAAAGGGGGAGAGAGGCTTAGACACAGAGACCTCTCTTCCACTGGTTCATCGTCCAGATGCCCACAATGGCCACAGTTGGGAGTCAGGAACTCAGTCCAAATCTCTCGTGTGGGTGGCAGGGACCCAACTCCTTGCCATCACGTCACCCAGGGATATGTGTTAGCAGGCAGGTGGAGTCAGGAGTGGAGCCAGGACTTGAACCCAGGCAGTCTGGTATGGATGTGGGATCCCACGCAATGTCTTAACCGCAAGCCTAACCATCCGCCTCTTGTTTCCCTCATTTTTAATGAGGAAATTATGTAATTATATAACTTTTTAAAGTATGCCAATCAGTTACTTTGCTGTGCCTTTAGATATGCCTGTGGATGAAGCTAAAGATTAATCTGGGGACATAGGGTGGAATAGGGGTCTGGTTTCAGTAATTGACCTGTACCTTGATTTCGTGAAGTAACTTACATAGCTTGCTTTTGGATCATCTGCTTATCATTTTCTTCAAATTTTTTTAGCTAAAAATTTATTTATTTAAAAGGCAGAGTTACAGAGAGGAAGAGAGAAGAGAGAGGGAAATCTTCCATCTGCTGCTTCATTCCCTAAATGGCCCCACAGCCAGGGCTGTGCCAGGCTGAAACCAGGAGCCTGGAATTCCATCCCGGTCTCTCACTTGGGTTACAGGAGTCAAAGTACCTGGGCCATCCTGTGCTGCTTTTCCAGGAGCATTAGCAGGGAGCTGGATGGGACCAGCGCTCATATAGAATGCCAGCATTGCAGGCAGGGACTTACGTCACTGCACCACAATGCCGGCCCCTGCTTATATCAATATCTATTAAAACGATTTTGTTCAGGGGCTGGCATTGTGGCATAATGGGTAAAGTCGTTGCCTAAGTGCCAGCACCGATTCAAGTCCCGGCTGCTCTACTTCCAGTCCAGCTCTCTGCTATGGCCTGGGAAAGCAGCAGAGGATGGCCCAAGTGCTTGGGCCCCTGCACCCATGTGGGAGACCAGAAGACTGGCTCCTGGCTTCAAATCAGTGCAGCTGCAGCCATTGTGGCCATTTGGGGAATGAACCAGCAGATAAAAGACCTCTCTCTTTGTCTCTGCCACTGCCTCTCTGTAACTCTGCCTTTCAAATAAATATTTAAAAAAAAACTATTTTTCATGCAGAGTAACTTCCTGCTTATTATTACGGCTGCTTTCTACTTCTGTTGTCAAATATTTCTTAAACGAAATGAAGGAAGGGGCCAGTATTATGGTATAGCAGGTTAAGCCTCTGCCTGTGACACCAGCATCCCATATGGATGCCAGTTCAAGTCCTGGCTGCTCCACTTCCAATCCTGCTCCCTGCTAATGAGCCTGGGAAGGCAGCACAAGATGGCTGGTGTACTTGGGTCCCTGCTACCCATGTGGGAAACTCAGAGTTCCAGGTTCCTGGCTTTGGCCTGCCCAGCCCTAGCCATTGCAGCCAGTGAACCAGTGGATAGAAGATCTCTGTCTCTCTCCCTCTTTCTTTTTTTAAAAAAGATTTTCAGACAGTGAGAAGGAGAGACAGAGAGAGAGGTCTTCATCCGCTGGTTCACTCCCCAAATGGAGCTAGATCATTCCAAAGCCAGGATTCAAGAGCTTCTTCCGAGTCTCCCATGTGGGTGCAGGGGCCCAAGCACTTGGGCCATCTTCCACTGCTTTCCAGGCCATAGCAGAGAGCTGGATTGGAAGTGGGGCAGCCGGCACTCAAACTGGTGTCCATGTGGGATGCCAGTGCCGCAGGCAGAGTATTAACCTACTGCACCACACTGGCAGTCCCCCCCTTCTTAAACTCTGCCTTATCAAATTATAATAATAAAAAGCCCCCTCGCCCATTTCAAGAAATATTTCCTCTGCTATTTTGGAATATTTTATGCCAGCATCGACAAATTTTTCTTTATAGAACTGAATAGTATTGCTATGGATGTGATACTGTGTCATTTCTCTAAGCTATATTTTATGTTTGACTTGATTGCATTCTGAGTTGGGGGAATAATAAAAAGTTTTTACAGTATTCAAATGATGATTCAGCACTATATTACTTCGTTTATGAAAAATATTCTGGTCCAGGAGTTAAATAAGTGAGATTAGCAATAGCAGGCAGAAGGATGACAGATAGCAATGTTATTGGACAGTCTGCTTTTTCAGGATAAGATAATTCAATTTCTAGAAATAGAAATAGAAATGCTGTCCTTGGGTCTATAAAAAGATGATTGGGCCAAAGGCTAAAGATGTGTTTTGTCCATCTAATTATTACCTTATGGTCTGTAAGTTACTGATAAACTGGGGGCACCTTTGAAAGCTATAAGATGATTTTATTTTCCAGTCATCAAAGGTGGGCACAGCCGGTTGTCCCCAGTCATCTTAGCTTGACCAAAGTCTGCCTAGGGTTCAGTTTGACAAGCTTTGCTAAAATCAACACCTTCATCTGCAAAAACACCTTCATTTGCCTTTGAAACTCTGCATAGGATACCTTACCTCAGAAATTAATTCTCAGGAAAAACTATAGAATATAGCCACATTGTGAAGACAGTTACTGCTACCTTCTCTATCTTCTTTCTCTTTAAATAATAAAAGTTACCCATCAGAAAATACAGCTCAGCCACTTGCACACGCTCACCATCTGGCTGTTCTACTTAGGGAAATGTAAGCACTGTTGAATGGGAAAATGTACTGCCGGGGCTCACTGTTGCATGGCTGTGAGTCAGTAAAGTGGCACTGCCACACAGACCATAGATTATCTTTTGCTGATGGCAACTTATGTTGACCACAGTGTCCGTCTGTAACGAAAGCGTTTGTTGACATGTCATTAGTGGGTGTTTAAACAACCAGTTGTCAGCATATCATCCCCCGACCAGTTGTTAACATTCCTGGCTCTCCTGTCTGCTGGTCGCCAGTGTGCTGCTGCTGACTGCTGCGGTTGGCCCCTCCCTGCTCTCTCTGTCCGCTGTCCTTTGCAGCTGTTTCTCGTGTGGTTTTTGACTTCCTCACTGAGCACCTTGCCTGCTGGGGGGCCCGGGTCCTGGGCGCTGCTTTTTCCTTCCGAGCGGACTGACCACGTCAGCTACCTGCGGCCCTTGACTCTTGAGCTCCACTCGCTTATTTTCATTATTTGGGGTTTCTCAGGAATGCCTTCCCACTGCACATTGTCCTTCAACACAAAACTTTTATTGTTACCTTATGGACTCGGTACTTTCGTTAGAAACCTGGCCTCCTTATAAGTGAAGAGTACCACGGATGTATTTTGTTCTGTGTTAACTAAACTGCTTTGACGCTATATTAATGGACTATTTTCTGCCTTTGATGAAATAAAATTCACGTGATTAATCCAAAAGATAGACAGTTTTAGGGATTATATCTTAACTCAGTTTTTTAGTCTGCAAGTTGATTGACTATTGCTAGCTATAGCTATATGCTAGATATCCATGTATAAAGTTATATTTTATAGTATGAATGCAGATGGCTAGTTTTTAGATGTTAATTAGGTTTTTATTATGTATAATGTACCCTCATAAATTAATTTCATTTAATTGTGTTTCATTTACCAGAACTGCACTAAACTATTGTCTTTTTTGTATCCTTAGGTTATTTTCAATCAGTTACAAGAATAGCTATTCATAGAAAGCTAGTATTTCTAAATGTCTTTTATTTTTATTTATTTATTTACTTTTAAAGATTCAGTTTAGTTATTTCAAAGGCAGAGTTACAGAGTGAGGGAGGGAGACACAGAGACAGATCTTCCATCTACTGCTTCAGTCCTCAAATGGCCACAAAGGCCAGGGCTGGGCCAGGTTGAAGTCAGGAGCCAGGAGCTTCATCTAGGTCTCCTATGTGGGTGCAGGGACTCAAGCACTTGGGCCATCTTCTGCTGCTTTCCCAAGTGCATTAGCAGGGAACTGGATTGAAAGTGGAGTACCCAGGACTCAAATTGGCACCCATATGGGATGCTGGTGTTGGAAGTGGCCTAACCTGTTACCCCACAGGGCCAGCCCAACATGGACCTTTTAGAGAACGACACCACAGTTTCTTTGTATATGTGTACACAAAGAAAATGCAAGCTACTGCTAAAAGAATTATTAGAAAATAATCAAAAATATATCTAAGCTTCCTTAAAAAAACATTGTTAGGAAAATGTGGAGACAGATTCGTTGGATATTGGTTTTTTAATGGTTTTGTTGAATTTATGAGAGGTACAATACTGATTTTTTTAAATCATGCTTATTTTCACAATAAGTATATCAGTTTACTTATTTTCAGGGAGACGAAATTGCCTGTCCACCTATTCCTAATGCATGAATCTCAGACCCGAATGTACTATCTGACTATTCAAAAAAAAAAAAAAAAAGAAACTGATTAATTTAAAGAGATCATTTTTAACCTGCAGAAAATAAAAGTTTGTAGTACACATCATTGTCCTTAAAGTCACTGGTAGAATGGGCATCTTTAAAAAGTTTTGCCATGGCTGGCGTAGTGGCATAGCTGCTGAAGTCTCTGCTTAACAGTGCTGGCATCCCATATGGACACCAGTTCAAGTCCTGGCTGCTCCTCTTCTGATACAGTTCCCTGTTAATAGCCTGGGAAAGCAGTGGAAGATGGCCCAGGTTCTTGAGCCCCTGTATCCACATAGGAGACCTGGAAGAAGCTCCTGGCTCCTGGTTTTGGCTTGACCCAGCCCTGGCCATTGCTGCCATCTGGGGAGACAACCAGCAGATAGGAGATATTCTTTCTCTCTCTCCCTCTCTCGCTCTCCCTCTCCCTTTTCTTCTCTCTTCCTCTCTCTCTCCCCTGCTCCCCCCCACATGTAACTCTTATTTTTAAATTAATTAATTAAAAATTTTTTGTTAATCTGATGCAAAGAATAGCATTGCACAAGCCAGTCTTCCCAGAATCTACCATATGTGATTCAAGTTGTGTGAGGTTAGTGTAGGCACTTTGAATAGTCTTTATTATAGCATTCAAAACCAAAACATTATGTTTAGACCTAAGTATAGATGGAAAGATGTTATTTTTAATATATATCTCAATACGATGATTTCCAATTACGTTGCAGGCTTTACTCATCAGTCTTAAGTATGGCTGTTTTATGTGGCAGTTGGGAGATGCCGATACTTGTTTCCAGATCCATAGCATGGAAAACAAAATGAGCTTTATAGTGCACACAAAGCAGGTAAGTCTCTACCAGTAATTTTGGGCTTCTAATAATGAGCGATTATATCAGTAATTTTACTTTTTTACCAAATAGCATAATCCATTTAGCCTCGATGAAAATCTTTAATATTAAATTAAAATGTTTAATATCAAGGCAGGCCGTTCCTAAGCAAGGGGAGCCAGAAATGGGCCTGTATAATTCATTTCAGTTTTAGGACAAATCATTTCTTGTCCCATTCTTGATAATTCCACTCAGTAGACCCTGTCCCTTCTATCAGGGTATGAGGTAGTCCTTCCCTCTCTGAACCTGTGTCCTGTATGAGCCACTAGTCTGTCCAGTGGGTCACCTCTTAAATCCCTTCGGAAATCTTGGGTAATTCTCCCTCTGTATTTCTTAGCAAGTTGCCTCCCGATAAGAAAGTTCCTTTGCAAATAGGTAGGGAGGGAACTTCCCATATGTCCTTTAACTATTCTTACATGTTTGATCTTTCTTGGTGACATGTATTTTATTTTGTAGGCTGGTCTGGTGGTAAAATTGTTAATGAAGCTAAATGGACAGTTAATGCCCAGTGAAAGAAACTCATGAAAGGAAAGCAGCTGGTACTCAAGTAACCACATGTTGTAATACAGACTTTTTTCCATGAAAGATTTCTTAAAGTATTACTTTGAACAAGGTGTTTAGTCTCTTGTAATATATATGTATACTGTTATGTTGTACAGAATCTGTACTTATGTTTGGTGTGTAATATACCAATTAGTTTTATATAATAGCCTTATAAGCTGTTCTAATTTTTGAGAGAAACACGTAAAAATTGTAGATTGATGGTCTGTATAATATTAGACGAAATAGGTATATAAAAATTATTTTTGGTAAAATGGTAAAGAATTTGGAGTGGAATGTTAATGAAATTAAAATGTAGCTTTGGTATAGCTTTGTGAATTATTTCAAAATATAATGAAAGTCAACATGATTTGAATAAAGAAAATGTATTTTCTACTTAGATCATATAACATTGTTATTTAAATTATTTTCTGCAACCTATATACATTTCTTCATGTGTTTTTAAACTCTTAAAATGTATAGCTGGTATAAGGTAGTGTTTCTCAAAGTATAATTCTTAAACACCTTGGGTCATAAGTTTGGTTTTTGTTTTGTTTTTTTCTTTTAGAATAATTCTAGACCCAATAAGGAACTTAGATTATTAAAGCTGAGAAATTACACAAAACTGACTAGCACACAAACATATATAGACACATTTTAAGTGACAGTCTTTGGATATTAGTAGTTGAATTTTTTTTATTAATGTATACTGTATTTTTGAGTTGACTTAATGGTTATTTATATTGCCTTTACATTGTAGGAAGTAGATCATCAAATCTCACTGTTTCATGTAGCAGAGTGCTGAGATCACAGGGAAAGAGCCAACTTGACCAATGTGCTACCTAATAAGCTAGAATCTACAGTTTTTCAAACTAATAGACTAATGTGTTTTAAATGAGTTCAGAGATAAAGTAGTCATATTTAAAGTTGCCCTATGGGAGCTGGTGCTGTGGTGTAGCGGATAAAGCCGCCACCTGCCGTGCTGGCATCCCATTTGGGCGCTGGTTCAAGTCCCAGCTGCTCTACTTCTGATCCAGTACCTTGCTGATGCACCTGGGAAAGCAGAGGAGGATGGTCCAAGTCCTTGGGCTCCTGCACTCACATGGGTCTAGCTTCAGATCAGCCCAGCTCCAGCTGTTGAGGCCATTTGAGGAGTGAACCAGCAGATGGAAGATCTCTTTCTCTGCCTCTGTGTTACTCTTTCAAACAAATAAATAAATCTTATAAATAAATAAAATTGTCATACAGAATGAAGATAATTTTTATAATCATCTCTTCACATTATTTGTTTTATTCTATTTTTAATATTATGTCTAAGCCTTATTAAAATTAAGATTGTATGGCTGGGGCTGGCGTGATAGCGCAGTAGATTAATCCTCTGCCTGTGGCGCCGGCATCTCATATGGGCACTGGTTCTAGTCCCGGCTACTCCACTTCCCACCCAGCTCTCTGCTATGGCCTGGGAAGGCAGTGGAGGATGGCCCAAGTCCTTGGGCCCCTGCACCCACATGGGAGACTGGAAGAAGCTCCTGGCTCCTGGCTTCAGATTGGCGCAGCTCCAGCCTTTGTGGCCATTTGGGGAGTGAACCAACGGATGGAAGACATTCTCATTCTCTCTCTCTCTTTCTCTCTCTCTGTAACTCTGCCTTCAAATAAATAAATCTTAAAAAAAATTGATTTATCTTCAATTCTGTGCTAGGCATTATTGATTCTACATAAAATATATCCTGCTCAGGGACCAGTGCTGTGGCATAGTAGGCTAAGCTTCCACCTGTGGTGCCAGTCTCCCATATGGGCACCAGATTGTGTCCCAGCTGCTTTCTTCCAATGCAGCTCTCTGCTATGGCCTGGGAAAGCAGTAGAAGATGGCCCAAGTAGTTGGGCTTCTGTACCCGCATGGGAGACCCAGAAGAATTTCCTGGCTTCTGGCTTCAGAACGGCCCAGACCCAGCCATTGTGGCCTTTTTGGGAGTGAACCAGTGAATGGAAGACTGTTCTCTCTGTCTCTCCCTCTCTCTGTAACTCCACCTCTCAAATAAATAAAATCTTAAACAAACAAACACAAAAAACCCCGATGGCTTCTGTTGTTACCAAATAACCTGTTGATTCGCAAACCTAAAATTTCAGCCTCAACCTCTCTTCTAGAACTGTAGATCTTTTTTCTTTTCTTTTTTTAATTTGAGAGGTAGAGTTATAGAGAGGGAGAGACAGAAAAGTCTTCCATCCACTGGTTCACTCCCCAAATGGCCACAAGGGCTGGGGCTGGGCTGATCCAAAGCCAGGAGCCAGAAACTTCTTCCAGATCCCCAAAGCAGGTGTGGGGACCCAAGCATTTGGGCCATCTTCCATTGCTTCCCCAGGCTGTAGCAGAGAGCTGGATCAGAAGAGGAGCAGCAAACTGGTGCCTGTGTGGTATCCCAGCACCGCAGGCAGAGGCTTAGCCTACTATGCCACAGCACTGGCCCCTAGAACTCTAGATCTTAATTTCCAAGTTGTGTTATTTTTGCTCCATCCAAATGGCCTACAGAGAATTTAGGTTTTATCATAGCTAGAAGAAGAATTTGTTTCCTCTTTTTTCCATTCTGTCTTTGCACTCATATTTCCTATTTGATTAATGGCATAATGAAGTTACGTTCAGTTGCTTAGCCTAGAAATCTTGATATGGTCTTCAACTTCTTTCTTTTCTCATGCTATACATTCCATTGATCAAGTCCTATCAAAGTCTTATGAATCTTTTCCTAGTCTCTTTCCTCATTCCCTGCAGCGACACTGAAGCCCTCATTCATTCCTTGGCTTATAGTACAGTCACGCATCGCTTAATGACAGGGATACATTCTCAGAAATGCATCATTGGGGGCCGGTGCCGTGGCTCACTTGGTTAATCCTCCACCTGTGGCGCTGGCATCCCATATGGGCGCCGGGTTCTATTCCCAGTTGCTCCTCTTCCAGTCCAGCTCTCTGCTGTGGCCCAGGAGGGCAGTGGAGGATGGCCCAAGTGCTTGGGCCCCTGCACCCACATGGGAGACCAGGAGGAAGCGCCTGGCTCCTGGCTTCAGATCAGTGCAGTGCTGACCGTGGTGGCCATTTGGGGAGTGAACCAACAGAGGGAAGACCTTTCTCTCTGTCTCTCTCTCACTGTCTGTAACTCTGCCTGTCAAATAAATTTAAAAAAAAATTTTTTTTAATTTAGAAATGCATCATTAAGTGATTTCATACTTGTTCAGACATCATAGAGTATACTTATGTAAACTGATCTGGCTACAACATTACTACATGACATAATCTTTTTTTTTTTTTTTTTTTTTTTTTTTTGACAGGCAGAGTTAGGGAGAAAGAGAGAGAAAGGTCTTCCCTCCGTTGCTTCACACCCCAAATGGCCGAAGCCAGGAGCCAGGTGCTTCCTCCTGGTCTCCCATGCGGGTACAGGGTCCAAGCACTTGGGCCATCCTCCACTGCCTTCCTGGGCCACAGCAGAGAGCTGGCCTTGAATAGAAGCAAGCGGGACTAGAACACGGTGTGCCGGCGCGCAGGCGGAGGATTAGCCTAGTGAGCCACAGTGCCAGCCAACATAATTTTTTTTAAAGATTTTATTTATTTGAGAGGTAGAGTTACAGACAGTGAGAGGCAGAGACAGAGAGAAAGGTCTTCCTTCTGTTGGTTCACTCCCCAAATGACCAAAACGGCCAGAGCTGCGCTGATCCGAAGCCAGGAGCTTCTTCCAGTTCTCCCATGTGGGTGTGGGGGTCCAAGGACTTGGACCATCTTCTACTTCTTTCCCAGGCCATAGCAGAGAGCTGGATTGGAAGAGGAGCAGCCGGGACTAGAACTGGTGCCCATATGGGATGCTAGCACCGCAGGTGGAGGGTTAACCTACTTCGCCATGGCGGCGGCCCAACATGATATAATCTTATGCAACCACCACCATGTACAAATCTGCCCATTACTGATGGAAACATCATCCTGCAGCTTATGACTGTAGCTCCTACCCCTACCTCAGGCTCTACACCCTGATGTCAAGTTAACCCTTTCCAATTCCCTAGGAAAATCTTACATGGTTCCCCTTTACATGTAGAATTAAATTTCAAAATTCTTTAGAGTTGAACATAGGGTCCTTAATACTCTGTAACTCACCTACCTATTCAGAGTAATGTCTAAGCACTTCTACTCTATCCTGTGCTCCAACTTGATGTTTCCTTTCTCTGGCTCTACAGTCCCAAGATGAAATTGAATACTTTTCTGGTTTCTATTTTTTGGGTATCCTGGGTGCTTTTGAAGTATAGCTAGGAGTTAGAGTTGTTGTTAATAATGAAATTTATCTAGGAGATAGCTGAATGTTTTTCCTTTCAAAAGCAGGAGTGAGAGTGCAAGTGGTACCACGTCAAACAACTTGTTCTGCAGAATACAGTGTACATTCCTGAAGTTGAATAGTATTGCTGCACCATTAGGAAGGGAAGAGGGGACTATTAGAATAGTGGAATATTATAAACTGTTAAAAGTGACATTTAAAAAAAAAGTGACAGTCATTTTTCAAAATTAGAATTGAGAAAAAATAATCATCATTATTTATAAGACCTAACAAATTAGAAATGAAAGAATAATGGGGAAACTCAAAAACCTTTTAAGATAAGATACTGGGTTTTTCTTGTGTGTGTGTTTTTTGTTTTGTTTTTGTTTTTTTTTGTTTGTTTGTTTTTGACAGTCAGAGTTAGTGAGAGAGAGACAGAGAGAAAGATCTTCCTTTCGGATCGCGCTGCGCTGATCTGCAGCCAGGAGCCAAGTGCTTCTCCCTGTCTTCCATGCGGGTGCAGGGCCCAAGGACTGGGACCATCCTCCACTGCCCTCCCAGACCACAGCAGAGAGCTGGACTGGAAGAGAAGCAACCGGGACTAGAACCCTGGGTGCCGGTGCCACAGGCAGAGGATTAGCCTAGTGAGCCACGGTGCCGTCGATACTGTTTTTTTTTTTTTTTTCCTTTTCATTATTCTTCATGTAAATTGGAGTACCTTTTACATGCCAGTGATCCAGTGATTAGAAAAAGCCCTTGCCTTAAGGGAACAAGGTTTAATGAGGAAAGAGCAGCTATCTAAGTTATTGCGGATTAAGAGAGATTTGAGAAGACCAAAGGGGTATAAAGCATATTCAAGGAGATAACTGAAAACATTTGAAACCCAGAGAAAAATAAAACTAACCATATACAGGAAAATTATAGATCACCAATAACAATCAGTTCAATCAAGTCTGCCCCAAGATATAATCAAGTTGACTCTCCATGACTAAAGATAAAGAGGATTCTCAAAGCCACTAGAGAAAGAAACCTAACACAAGGCTGTCCCAATTTGCCTGACTGCACACTCTTCAGCAGAAACCTTGCCTGCCAGAAGGGAGTGCTCAGTAAGTACTAAAGGAAAGACAGCGTCAACCAAGAATTATACCCTGCAAGACCACACTATAGATACGGAGAGATAAAGGTATTCCTAGAATGTATCATAACCAGATGTTAAACTCTTCAAATTGAGGGAGTTCTAACAAGCAAGGAGAAAGTATCAGAAGACAAAAGTTCCATGAATGCAGAGCCCAGAAATAAACCCATGTATTCTCAACCGATTTTTTGAACACATTTCTAGGAACATTGGAGAATGGACCACTTATGAATAACATACTGGGAAAAGTGGATATCCACATCCAGGAGAATGTAACTAGACCCCCGTCTTTCATGATAAATAAAAACTAGCTCAACATGGATGTTTTCTTTTTAAAGATTTATTTATTTATTTGAAAGGCAGTTACAGAGAGGCAGAGGCAGAGACAGAGGTCTTCCATCCACTGGTTCACTCCCCAAATGGCCACAATGGCTGGAGCTGTGTTGAATTGAAGTCAGGAGCCAGGAGTTTCTTCTAGGTCTCCCACATTGAAGCCACCGCCTGCAGTGGTGACAGAAGAAGCTCCTGGCTTCAGACTGGCCCAGCCCTGGCCTGCACTGCAGCCATCTGCGGAGTGAACCAGTAGATGGAAGACATATTCTCTCTCTCTCTCTCTCTCTCTCTCTCCCTCTCTCTGTAACTCTTTTTAAATAAATGTAAAAAGCACAGAAAACAAAAAATGTATGGAATTTCTCAAACCGAAAAGCTCCTACACAATACATATGAAAGACTACGTAACGTGTAATGTCAAAAACTAGTAAGTAGGAGAGTTGAATCCAAAATCTAACAATCTGGTTTCTGAATTCAGACATTAGTTTGGTAAAGGAGAGGTAACTACAGAGGATTTAAAACCAAACTATGAAGAGTGTTCCCTGCTAATGGGGAGCCACTGACTAACTCAGATTTGCATACTGAAAGACCACCCTGGGCCAGTGCATATACAGGAGGGCTCCAAGTGGGGATTCTGAGTAACAAGGTGTAAGGCAACCTGGGCCTAACCTAAGGTAATGGCCATGGGAGAGACCTTTTAGATGGGGGAATAATGGAAAGGGGAGAGTACGAACAATTCCCCTCTCTGTCCTGAGCAGCTGGGAAAATGGTGCCATATACTGCCTACAGTAGCGGGTAGGAGAGGAAGTTTTGAAGAAATAAATAGAGTTCCTGGTGCCCAGGGGAATGCTGATGGAGATGTGCAACAGACGCTCCAGTTCCCGGGGCTGAAGTTCACAAGACTGCAGGAGATGGCAGTGGAATACAGGAACAGACTGAACACCACCAGGGAGAGAGCAGAGATGCAAACCCACATTTGAGAAATGTGCAAAGGTAGGGGAGTCCACAAAGCATCCTATTAGGACAATGGATGTTGGTATGGAAAAGAAATAGCTTGGCTCCATTTTGCATATGGTGTAGCCAATAAATTTTATATGTCAAAAAGTAAACATTAAAAGAATATTTGATGTTACTAGGGAAGATAGACCAGCATATTTTAGTGTCAGCATATTCATCTATGTATATTTTTAAATGGCTGAGATAAGAGGTGTTCAATGACTGATTATGAAATTGGAAGTTTAGGGGCCAGCACTGTGGTGTAGCACGTAAAGCCCACTGCAGTGCCGGCTTCCCATATAGGCACTGGTTTGAGTCTCGGCTCCTCCACTTCCAATCCAACTTCCTGCTAACGCACCTGGGAAAGCAGAAGATGGCCCAAGTTCTTGGGCACTTTCTCCCATGAGGGAGACCCAGAAGAAACTCCTGGTTTTGTCCTGGCTCAGCCCTGACCTTTTACAATATTTTTTTTTTTTTTATTTTTTTGACATGCAGAGTGGACAATGGGAGAGACAGACAGAGAGGAAGGTCTTCCTTTTCCGTTGGTTCACCCCCCAATGGCTGCTGTGGCTGGCGCACCGCGCTGATCCAAAGCCAGGAGCCAGGTGCTTCTCCTGGTCTCCCATGGGGTGCAGGGCCCAAGCACCTGGGCCATCCTCCACTGCACTCCTGGGCCACAGCAGAGAGCTGGACTGGAAGAAAAGCAACTGGGACAGAATCTGGCGCCCTGACCGGGACTAGAACCCAGGGTGCCGGCACCGCAGGCAGAGGATTAGCCTATTGAGCCGCGGCGCTGGCCTACAATATTTATTTTTATTTATTTATTTGAAAGGCAGAGTTACATAAAGAGACACAGAATAAGATCTTTCACCCACTGTTTCACTTCACAAATGGCCACAACAGCAGAAGCCAGGGGCCGGGAGCTTCTTCCTGGTCTTATGCGTGGGTTCAGGAGCCCAAGCGCTTGCGCCATCTTCCACTGCTGTCCCAAGTGCTGTCCCAACTGGATCAGAAATAGAGTAATGGGGTGAGGGAGCGGTGCTGTGGTGTAGCGGGTAGAGCCACCACCTACAGTGCCGGCATCCCATATGGGTGCTGGTTCAAATCCCAGTGTAGAATCAGAATCAAAATGGAGTGAGTGTGGCTAAAAGCTAATTGCAGGTCTCTTGCTTCTGTACATATCAGCTTTGCTTGCTGGCAGCCAAGGGTATGACTTGTGAAACTATGTGGACCCAAATTCCCAGGAACTAGGTTGACCAAAATGTGTCCTTCACTGTTATCTTAACAACTAAATCTTGGGTCTGTTATTGGGTTTGTTATTATTAACTGTTTCTTACAACCATATTCTGGTTTTCCTCTTTATTGTTCACTGCATACTAGGGGCCCGGTTTGAAATTGTGAGCCCTAGTGGACAGAATACTATAAAAAGCTGTGTAACCTGCTGTTGGGGGCCGCACTCTGGTAAGGAGTGTTGGTCCCGATAAGTGGCTGATCCTAATTGGTTACCTTGTCTCTCATGTGTCTCTCATTTGCTTCTCATTTTCAATAAAATGCATGTCTGACTGTCACTGGTTTTTGTAATACTCTATTTTAGCTTATGAGTGAATGCAACACCAGCTGCTCCACTTCCAATCCAGCTCTCTGCTGTGGCCTGGGAAAGCAGTAGAAGATGGCCCAAGTCCTTGGGCCCCTGCAACTGTATGGGAGACCCAGAAGAATCTCCTGGCTCCTGGCTTCAGTTCGGTGCAGCTCTGGCCGTTGTGGCCAATTGGGGAGTGAAGCAGCGGATGGAAGACCTCTCTCTCTCTGCCTCTCCTTCTCTCTCTAACTCTGACTTTCAAGTAAATAAATAAATCTTAAAAAAAAAAAAAAAAAAAGAAAGAAAGAAATAGAGCAATCGGGACCTATGCCCATATGGGATGCTGGCACTGCAGGCAGGAGGGCTTTACCTGCTATGCCACAGCACCAGCCCCCTAAACACTGTTTCATTTCATTTTCTTTCTTTCTCATTTTCTTCCTTTCTCATTTTCTTTCTTTCTTTCTCTCTTTCTCTCTCCCTCTCTCTCTTCCCCTCCCCCCCTTTAAGATTTCTTTATTTATTTGACAGAGTTACAGAGAGAGGGAAACAGAGACAGAGAGAAAGGTTTTCCATCCACTGGTTCACTCCCCAGATGACCACAATAGCTGGAGCTGTGCTGTTCTGAAGCCAGGAGTCAGGAGTTCTTCCGGGTCTCCCACACCAGTGCAGGGGCCCAAGGACTTGGGCCATCTTTTATTGCTTTCCCAGGCCATCAGCAGGGAGCTGGATAGGAAGTGGAGCAGCCAGGACTTGAACTGGTGCCCACATGGGATGCTGGCGCCAGATGCTTAATCTACTATGCCACAGTGTTTAGATTCTTTAAAAGAAAGAGTAAAGCCAGGTTTGGGGGGTGGGGGGACTACAAAAACCAAAGGTGATGGAAACTGCCAGCCCATGATAGAGAAGTTTTATCCATCTCCACCCCATGCTAGGCAAAAGACGTGGGCAACAGCGTTAAATGCCTTCTATTCAAAGACCAAAAAAATTAGACTTCTGGGACACAAGCAAATTGTATTTCCAGCTAATTACCAGGTTCTGTTAGAGGGACAACACATTCATTAGGCAGATTAGCATACAAAAGGGCTACGAATGCAGAACATTCATAAATTCTTAGAAAGCAAGTTGCATTCAGTTTCACCCTTAAATTTCAACTTGGGGGCTGGTAGGGGAGCTATCCTAGGGATCTGTGCACTAAAACAATGTGAGCGGTCACAATCTGAGGCAAAGAGTCCTGGGGGAAGCAGGCTGTGGGCCAGGCATTCCGTTGTCAAGGAGGCTGGCTCCAAAGACAGCACAAGCCCTGCAAGTGAGCGCCGAGCCTTGGCGAGGAGGCTGGGACCGTAAGCCCCGGCAGGTTCCCACGAGAGAGCGCTCTGGAGAACACGTTAACCTCGCCTTGTAGCGTGGACGGAGGTCATTGTCCATCCTTCTATTTCTCATCAGGTTCAAGTGGCATTTAGAATACTTTATTACACAGTACAACTCCTACTGGTTTACTCAGTGTTGTTAAATATTAGATGTTGGTATTAATAAGATCCTTTTTCCGATTTCCCCCTTTCTAAGAGCTCACAGCTGGTCCTTCAACTGAATCCCCACGTTCTACAAATACTACTTGTTTTCCTGGTGTATACTGGCTAAAGCAGGCTGGGACTAACCCCAGCTTCTAAAGAACTTTCTCCCCCTCTCCCTGCCCTACAAGTGACTCCCCAGAGGCACCCAGTGCTTCCAAAACTCAACTCCTTCGGATGCCTTTCAAACTGGCTCAGCCGTTACCTTCTTCATCCTTGGTTCCGGTGCTCGCCTGCGCCTGCGTGCGTGGTTTGGAAGCCCCGCTGTGCCTGCTCAGTAGCCCGCGGTGGTGGTGGTGGGGGGGGGGGGGGGGGTCCGGACTGGCTGCACAGCGACAAGCTGGGTCCTGCACGTGTTCAAGTTCATGTCCACCGTGCCTTCACCTCACCTGCCCCTCCGTCCCGGCGGCCGACCTGCAATCAGGCAAGGAACTAAGGCTGGGTGGAAGCACCTGGAAGCGCGCTCCCCGCCCTCACCTAACAGATCGGCACCCTGCGGGCGGCTCGCGAGGATGTCCCGGCGAGGCTCCGGCAGCAAGCCGAGGACGCAGACGCGCGTCCCAGGCCAGCCGCGGCGGCCCACGCGGGGGCTTGAAGGACAGCCAGGCCTGCCCCTCGGGTGTCCTAGTGTGACCGAGGGCCAGCTCACAAACGCGCAGCGGGCGCGGCCGGCGTCTCGGCCCGGGGCCAGAGCAGCCGGGACCTCGGCCGGCGTCGTCGCTGCAATCCCTCGACTCTCCGCCACGCGCGCCCCCTGCCGGTCCTGGAAGGCGCCGCAGCGGCCGCCGGAGGCCCAGGTGAGGCCAAGGTCAGCTTCTCTCTCATCGCCCCTCAGCTCCCACTCCTCCTGGCTCGCATTCCGTCCCTGGCTACTCCAGCCTGTGTGGAATGGCCTCGCCCCCACCCTCCAGGTGCACAATACGAAGAGTCCCGTGGCTCCCTCAGTGTCACGAAGTACCTCGAGTCGTTTAGTTTTACTAATATGTACGTTAAAAGTTGGCTCTATCTTTGCCTATCGACTTGGTAATATCTGGTTTTGAAAGAGACTCAGCGTTTCTGAGAGTGATGGGAGGGACCCTGTGCATTTCTAGAACATTATTTGGCTGTAATTTAGCAGCATTTAAAATGCCCCCATGGGAATGGCTACATAATCGATGGCACATCTTTTCACTGGCATATTTTGCAGCCGGGAGTACCTTAAACAGTGGCGGTATGCTGGCCCGTGGTTGGGCACGTGGCCTGAGCCTGGAACAGCGGATCTCATGTCAGACTCCGTGAACCCCCTGCTACTCTGCTGGGCACGCCTTCGGGTCTATCTGTGGGAGTGCAGCCCTTGTTTAATCAGATCCACAGCTTCTCAAAACGACCCTTCTGTTGCATAGCAATGTGAATGTACCCAGTGCCACTAACCGTGCACTTAAAAATAGTGGAGCTGATGCGTTTTTGTTGTTTTGTCTTCTACGACCCTAACAAGAGGAGGGTGAGGGAGGGGAAGCACTTTTTGGTGTATAAACAACCAAACACTTGGAACAAAACTTCCACAAACTGCGGCAGCCCCTCAGGATCACAGCCTCACGTGTGCCGTGCTTACTGGAGCCCAAGCTCCAAGAAGTTGTGCCCACAACAGCCACAGACACAGTCTTGGGTGCTGCAGAATGCCAAGGTCAACCCTAATATCCTGAATATCATGAACTCTGGCTGCTCCAGAGCCTTAATTTTGCCATTTTTCCAGCAGATCAAATACCTGTTGTGTGTTTTTCAACAAGTTCGGCTGATGCACCAGGTGTTGGAATTTGAGAAGCTGTAAAAGACTAACACCCTTTCCACCCCCTGCAAGTTATATATCATAAAATATAGTCTGGCAGATGACAGTGAAAATATCACCCTTGTTACAGATAAAGCAATTTAGAGGAAATGGAGTTAGTCTGCAGTTAAGCAATCATTATAATTTGCCCCTGAATATGGCATAATTACTCGGCCATCACACAGATGGACCACAGGTGGGCAGCCTCTTGTTCCATAGAAGACAGCTGGCTAGAACACAGATCTTGTAGGCAGAGAGAAAAAACCAAAGTTCAGAGCCTGAAGGAGCTGAGCTCATCAGTCATCTGGACCTCTTCTCAGCAGGTGAGAAATGGCAGAACCAGGCTCAAGGCCAAGGGCATGACGCAAAGGGTTACCTCCAGGTGGAAACAGAAAGGGTGGGAAATCCCCCACAGTCCTGAGAAGAAAGAATATCTGAATAAACCAGTAGCCACTCGAGATCAGAAAATGAATTTCACTGGGTTGTCAGTATCCCTTAATGTGTAAAAAGCTGCTACAAACAAATCCTTAAGGGCAAGTTACCCATCTCATCTGGGTAGCATAACCTTGACACCGAAACTGGACAAAGCTCAAAAAGTTCAATAATCAGGAAGACTGCTAATGAACATTTGCATAAAAATTCTCAGCAAGTGTTATTCAGTAATATAATATGGCAAAGTTTATAATGTGATCTATAGGTAGTATGAAATATGACTCTATTAATGTTAATTATGTTATCTAGTAATACAATATAAGTAATGCACCATGACCATGCTTGATTTATCCAAGAAATGCCTGATGTTCTATGAAGAAACTCTACTGGGGCTGGTTTTATGGCATTGCAGGTAAAGCCGCTGCCTATGATGCTGGCATCGCATATGGGTGCTGGTTTGAGACCCAGCTTTAGATCTAGCACCCTGCTAACGTGCCTGGGAAAGCAGTGGAGGATGGCCAAAGTGCTTGGGCCCCTGCACTCACCTGGGAGTCCCGGAAGAAGCTCCGGGCTTCTGGGTTCAGTCTGGCCCAGCCCTGGTCATTGTAGCCATTTAGGGAGTGAGCCAACGGATGGAAGATCTCTCTCTCTCTCTGTCTTTCCCTCTCTCTCTCTAACCCTACATTTCAAATAAATAATAAAAAAAAAAGTTAACGCAATATACCACATTAGTGATTACAAGAACAAGACGAAGATAGCTACTGTCATTCCTACTATCCTGCATTGTACCAAAGGGCTTAATACATGCAAACGGATACTAAAAATAAGTCAGAATTGGAAACAAAGCTGACAGTATTTGATATTATCTTTATAGAAAGTCTAGGGAAATGTATAAAGTTATTAGAAGTAGTAAGAGGGCCGACGTTGTGGCACGGCGGGTTAAGCTTCCACTTGTACCACAGACTCCCCATGTCAGAGCACTGTTTCAAGTCCAGCTGTTCTGCTTCTGAAGACTGCAAAAGATGGCCCAAGTCCTCCGCTGCCTTCCGAGGCCATTAGCAGGGAGCTGGATCAGAAGTGGAACAGCCAGGACGCAAACCAGCGCCCAAATGGCGCAGCTTTACCCGCTGTACCACAGCGCTGGCCCGGCTTACACAACTTGGACTGACAACTTTAAGTGGAGAA